TGCAGAAAAAGGAATTCTGCAACGGAACATTGATTTCTAAGTTTAAAATAGTAAAATATGGTGTTTGTGTGTGGTCGTTTATTTTTGGAGGTAAGGAAACAACAGCGGGAACATTGTTGCATATGGCTATATACGCGTATGAAAGTTTCAATGGACTACCATATGACAGTCTGCTACTTCTGCGTTGCAGCAAACATAAAAAAGGAAAATGATGGTTAAAAATATTGAATGATTTTGATTTTCAAGCTAGGTTATGCAATCGGAAAACCATTACTGGGAAATATATAGGCCTATAGGCCTATATATTCCAATTTCATTTGGAGTGATTTTTTTTCTGAAAAACGCTAAGGATACAATTTTATGTTCAGGTAAAGTAAGTTTTGTAATTTAGGTATTACTTAAATGTAACATAAAGCTTTTGGTCTAAATCGATGCACATCTTTCTTAAAGCCCTCATTTAAATAACATTCCTTTGCAATCAGTTGGGCTTTCCAAACAACGCAAAACAAGATTTAGATTGCATCAGAGGAGCATCCGCTGAGCACTGCGCTAACTTATGGTTTTTTATCTAAATATAGGCCCTACATTTGATTTCTGTTTGTTCGATAAAAGTCGATATAGTTTCAACGGAGTTAACAAAACACTAGAAATGATGTTATCTTCATCATTTCTGCTTTTGCTGAGTTATTTGCGGGGGGGGGGGGGGGGGAGGATCGAAACTGTACTACGTAAAAAGGACTGGCTTTACAGCAGTCGGCATGAATGTTGTTGGAAGGTGGATGAGAACTTTTGTCCGGAATTATAAAACTTGCAACCGTAAGAGATATTTGAAGGGTTCAGTTGGTGCTTCATTGTTTACTCTTCATGCAAAGAATACAACGAACGATGAAAACTCTACAGGAGGCATCCAGGTACATTCGTCTTGAGAGATCTCTCTTCAATCTTCATGCACTTTTTCAAGCATATCTCTTGAGCCTCCAACTTCGGATTTCATGGATTGGTCGATGTTCAAAAAACATATAAAATAACCCCTCATTCCGTACTATTCGTAGCTATTGAAATGCACCTCCCCTCCTAAAAAGCGGGGATTGTGTTTTGCAATGTTAAATACATATACAGGTAAAATCGGGGGGAGGGGGTGAATTTTTTTCACAGCATAATTTCTGTTATCCTAGACCATTAGAGAGGGATTTAGACTGGGTTCTCATACATGTACCTAGATCGATCTAACAGGATCCATCCATCTCTGAGGGGTTTCTCGCTAAATTGCTTTCATCTTCAAGCGGCTTAGATGTCTGTTACGTTGCTAAATGAATCTTAATCACCCCCTAGCGCCCTCAGTAGGTGTGACAGACATCTAAGCCACTTAAGTTGATTGCAATTTAGCAAGAATCCCCTCTGAGATAGATCAATCCACAGTTAGTACGACAGGGTCTAGGAATGTTCCCTTATATATAGCTACATGTACCATCAGGGACTTGTGTGTTGTGTGGAATTCTAGTGCACTTGGGGGGGGGTTAGGATTGCTTGTGGGTGGTTGATTCTGTTTTATTTATTTATTTTTTACATTAAGCATTTTTCAATCAATATTTTTTCTTTTGCTATACAATGAAGTTTATGTTAGAATCATATTTCCAGACAGTAAATCCAGTTCACCTGTCTCATCCCTATCTCATTCGCAATGCTGCTGTCAGTAGTGTGGATGCAGCCACTACACTGCTTACACAGATTGTTACAGCACTACTCCAGGCACAGAAAGAATACATAGAGGTACATGTATTTTAGTAATTAGATGATGAACTAATATAATCAGCAGAGTAGTTTTGCATAAAACAGGAGATACAGGTTCAACAGGTTGTTGAGCAGCAAATAAGAAATACATTGTTTACCTCATGGAATAATACTAAAGGTAGAATACTGTAACTTTGGTGTAATAAGCAGTCACATAATGTCTTCATTTGCCATCTTTCAGGCTGTCAGTCATTTGTTAACTGTCATGGAAGCTAACCTTAAAGTGCTGGGGAATCCAGCTGCTGAGCAGCAAGTCTGGGACATGATAATGGAAGCCAGGGTCAATATGAATGAAAAAGCTATGGCAAGACAGGAACGTACCTTTCATCAAGTCCTGCTTTAATTAGTGTCCTGAGCATCAGGCCTTATGCAGGCCAGCTTTTTCATTGTCAAATCCCAGTAAATACTTTGTGAACTCTAACAGTCTGCAGAAAGTTTGATTGGAGTTGACCGTGCCAGTCAAAAACAGCTGGTCATGTGGATTTCATATTACATGGGTAAATTACCTAGTTAGTAAACCTAACATTTATGATTGACATAGTGAAGTTGTCAGACATTGCTGTTCATAAGCAACAATGGAAATTTGAAATTGAAGAAGCTGGTTTGCATTGGCTCTGAAACCCTAGCTCGGGCTATGTTCTAATTACTTGTACATCATGCAAAAAAAAAAATTGCTCTGATTGATTAGATTTCATTTTCCTCAAAAGCTGAAAATGGACATCATATAAATGTAATTGTGATGGACATGTTTTGCACTTCAGGAATTGGAAACCCTGTATGCATTTACCGAGAAACTTTTAAACAGTGCTGCTGAAGCTGCGTATGCAGCAGGTAAGTTTAAATCATTGAAGATAACAACTAATTATTGTAAGTAAACACATTTTAACAAGTAATCAGTGATGCTTCTGTAACACATGGTTTTTGATCTTCATAAAAATGTATTTTCTATTGGAGTTTTATTTCATCTTTCTGATGCAAGTTTACTTGAACAGTGAAACTTGTCATTAGTCATTTGCAGACTAAAGATCAGATTAAATTTTCCAAGCAAATTATTGTTCAGTTATTTTATTCAAGGTGCTGAATATGCAAGTATTGCTGCAAGTGAGCGGATTTACTCAGCTCAGACTCAGCTGAAGGTGATAAGAGAGCAATCCAAAGATGCCACTCTGAAACTAGCACAAATGGAAGCCACCACTATACAGAAAACTTCAGAACAGTTGAAGGAAAATAAAAAGGACAGTGAAGATCCAAGGAGTTGACAAAAGGAAGTGTGATGTGTTCAGATTTGAATTACTCTATTATGCCCCTGGCTATATGTTTAATGGGACTTGGACTTTTACATCTAAATAAACCAAATCATTGCAAACATGGGAAATTTTAATAACATGTATAATTTGGGATGGAAAAAAACATAATCATGGAACTTCAGGTTGCACGACCAATTTTTTTTACCTCAAGCCAAATTGGGCATGGAAGGTACACTTTTGTTCACTGGAAGTGATAAGTAGGTGTAACTATGTATAAATGTGCACTCGTCTCGAGTTGTCTTGTCTTGTGACTTGTTGTGCTTCTGACGCCCCCTAATTGGTGTTTTGTCTATGTTCCATTGTCTATGTTCCTTTGTCTATGTTCCTTTGTTCTGTCTTCCCGCGTCTTTGTCATGTGACGTCTCGTTATAAAAGGCATTGGCGCCGGATTTTCAAACAGTGCTGGAGTTGCTGTTCGTCTGTCTGTATGTGGTAAGTTGGGGATAGTCTAGTAAATTCTAGTTCAGTTAAGTATCTGCTATGCTATCTTGTCTTTTACGTTCCCAACTCTGTTGCATTATGCTATACTACAGCATTTTCTACGATCTAGTTTTCAGACCAAGCCATCTATTGGTGTAACCAGCACTCTTTCTAAAACACCCTTGAAAAACATCAGGGTAAGCCGTTATTAGTAATTTGTATCAAATGTATTATTTCTTTATCAAAGAGGTAAACGAAGAACTATAGAAATGTAAGTGTTTAATAGTTACAGGAAATGCATATTTATTATTTGTTGTATATATTATTTTATCTAATTATATGTCACCGTTCATTACAGGGTGAAAATTTTAGGTACAATAAATATATTTTAAACCATACGAGAGTCCGCTTGTTACAAAGGTCTATAAAATCCTTTAGATCAGGGATGCACCAGCCTAATCTGCACCCAGAATTATAATTAACAGAGAAAGAGATGTTTGGAGCCTTAATAAACCTCGAGCCTTTTCATATTAATTGATGTAGTTAACAACACAGGTGGGCTGCTATAAAATAACCAGCAGCAAGAGTCCATTAACATGTAAAGATATCTGTTAATGTGATAAAACTTTATTTTTCAAGTTTACAGAAACATGCAAATAAAAATTAAATATATTTTAATCTTTTATGTGTTACAATCTTCTACCAATTCAAAATCAAGACTGCTCACTTTTTTCACAATTAATATAAAAGCATTTTAACTAGCAAAATATTTATCAATATAAACTATATATTTTTAATTAATGCTTGTGTTGGCAAATTATCTAAACTGGCAAAATTAATATATATACTAAATTATTGGCGAAGATTATAATTTCATTTATGGTGCAATATATACTTTGGGATTCTCTCTTGCTAGAGCAGTAGCACGCATGGTAGTCAGACACACCATCACCACTCAACTCCCTGTGTGCAATCATTACAACACTCGGGGTATCACTGACCAATTGCAGGTCAACTCCTTAATACTTAATTAAAACGCGTTCACCATATGCGTCCAGCATCAGATCAATCCCAGCAACCGGACCGTAGTCACAAAAAGTGTACAAGAATACCACCTCTACATAACATGCCACAACACAAGACCGCCAGAAGGTAAGAAACTTTATTTTAAACTCACCCCACCTTCAATACTTGCCAACCTCGCTCAAGTATCCATCTCAAGTATCCATCTCAAAGGTATAATAACTCTTCGTATGAGGTCTATATTTCACAATAAAAACATTGTGAATAACTCATAGAAATATAACATATTCTGTTTTAGGACAAAAACAGGAGTAATAGCTATTATTCTGATATCTGAGCTTGTCTTCAGACCACGTGACCTCCATTGATGGCTATACTCTGTTATAATCTCTTAAAAGATTTTAACAAAAAAACTAACTATTTAGAAAAAAAAACAGGGACTAACTTTGAATGTAAAAATGGATTCATTAACCATTGGTAAGTATGGGAAATTTGTTGTTTACTCCTGGAAAATTCATTTTTGGCCAAAACGAATAAGTTATTATCCCTTTAACAATTTATCACGCCACTCGGTTGTCAAGGTGTTACTGCTCAAGCAACATGGGGTGACTCCCGCTCTTGCCACCAACACCAACCAATTATTGAATCGAGCAAATAATTTATTCCACTCCTCTCATATAGCAACTATGAATAAACTTGCCTAAGGCAGTTTCATTGGCACCAATATTTCACCCTTTGTGTGCAGTTTCTCTGCTGTACTCCCTACATAACCTTACTCTTGAAACAAAACCTGTGCAGTACTGTTTTATTGACATAAATAGAGTGCAATTTTTACCACTTTTATAATTTGAAATAAGCAACCATGACCTGACAATTTTCACTGTATTTAGTTACCACCTCCCAAAAAATATTTTGCATACATCCATACACATTTAAAACTTACGCAATTAAAATAATTTTTATTCTTCAATTATTCACTGATACATGACAGTATAATATTAATTGCAATGTATGGTGTATTAATTAATGTATGATGGCAAAACAATCTGACCCTTCAGAAAGGTCCAGACAAGATGACCCCTGTCTATTGTTAAGAAATCATCCCTGCTAGAGCCTGCCCAAGGTCCTGTAAGTGTATTAGACTGGTGTACCAGGTCCTAGAAGTCCACTGTCAGGGGCAGAGTCCCAGATGACTTTTTGGACGCCTTTAAACTGTGGGTGCTTAGCATCTGCTACCAGGGACAGCAGGGCACTCTCACTTGTGGTAAGGAAGGCACCAGCTTCCTTCATCCGCTGTAAAGCAAACATTCTGAAATGTAAAAGTACTTTGAAATTGAATCCGGTGTGCAACATTAAAACAAAGCCTAGCAGTCTGTCTGAAAGCACTTCATCATATGGCAACGATGACAATCATACAATCAGCAAAGTGTTAATCGGCATCATAAACTTTACATAATTGTTTGGGTCTTTCTACATGCAAATTGTGTTATACAGATTTATCTTACAAACATGTATAAACATATATGACACTAACTTTTAACAATGCATCAGATTTGTACCACCATTTTAGTCTTAAAAACCATATCTACCTGTCCACCATGCTCCTAGATGATATACCATCCACTATGACGTGAACATCATATCCCCTTTCTAACAGGTCCAGTGCAGTTAGCTGGATACAGACATGACCCTCTATACCACACAGTAATATGGATTTTATATCTGGAATTGTGAATTGTTAAAAATTTTTGCATAATATGAATGAGCCAGGTTATATATTCATTTGTTAAAAGTAATATGACTTCGAATTTTTTTACATTACATTCTACTTTTAATTTGCCAGATGGTGCGTTTTCTGTGTCTAGTCAAGCAGTTCCTTTTCACATTATGTTGTACATTTGCAAGGTATATACACTGGAAACCAATTGACTGTCATTAAAAATAACATGTATTCTTCATGTATTAAACTGTAGTATCCACTATGTATCTTACTGAAGTGCCATCATTTGGTGTTTATAGAAATACTGCAAATCTGTAATGATGAGACAACATTGTCACATATTTTCTCACAGTTACTAAACTATTTGACAGTATGCGACACTGAAGGTGAGAGCTAGTAAGGGGAGAATTTAAGAGGCTTTACAGCACACACCATTCACCTTAACTTTCCTTGTATCTTTCAAGCAAAACAGTGAAAGAGGAAAATGTACATAACATTGATGTAGCTATGCTAGTAGGCTCATTGTTTGGACTACCACAGTAGGTGAGTAGCTACCAACCTGGGTATTTGCTAAGGTGTTCCTCCACCTCTGGTATGGCCATTGTAAATTTAGTCTTTGGGAATACTTTATGGTGCTTCACATTCAGTTCACTTACAGTTGGACCAAGACCTAAACATTAAAACCATGTTAAATATTTATTGATAAGGGTTGATTTTATTACTCGTATGAAGCATTTAAATGAAAAACACTTAGTTCTCACTACATAATAATTTGTGTTTTATTTTTGCACTTTATTAAGGGTTACTATGGTAATATATACAAGTGTAATAATAATTAATTCATTCATTTTGTATTTCGAAATACAAAATTGCAAAAGAATAATAATAATTACTCTAAATTTATCTTCAACCCCCCCCCCCCCCAAAAAAAAAAGAAGAAGAAGAAGAAAATGCAATTTGAAGAAATTAGAGGCAACCTAGATATAATGTACGATCAAAGGTCGTACGGCAACGCTATCATTATCAATGCGTTCCGTCTACTGACCTTTTGGGTATTGCTCAGTCACAACAACAGGCATATTCAAATGTTCACTGGCAGCAAGCACCCTCCTAGCCACTTCAATAACTGCAGGATAATAGCTTATTGTTTTACGAAATCCTTCTTGCATGTCACACAAAAAGAAGGCGCTGGATTGCACCGCAATCTTCCCTAGCTTACGACCAGACATGCTGTCTTGTTTTCTTTGGTTGAGAATAGTGCTCCGCACGCAAATGATTTGATAAAATCTCTACCTAAATAACTTAAATTCACAATAGCTGATGATCATGTATACAAAAAAATAATATTGTAAAAATAAAGCACCACCAGTATTTGCTTTAACATTATAAGATAATATTTATTCTAAAATTTCTATGTAGCAATCCGAAGTACTTGACCTTCATTTCAAGATGAGCCCAAATGATTGCTGTATATTAAGTTATTGATTTTGATCAAGCTAAAGAACCTTTATGATATCTAACTTAATATTTTAATGAAAATTATTTATTTTAACATAATGCACTAGGTGTTTGAGCGAAATATCTGACTAGCTTATCTTGAGCGATGTCAACTTTTTAAATTAATTAAAACACGCACCACATCATATTACATGTCATTAAAATGTTAAGGGTCAATTTGACCTTTTCTTCTTGTAGGGAGGTGTAGGGAGTCCAGCTAAAAGCAGTTGAATTTAGTTGTTTTTCGTTTTTAGTTAGTTTTCAACCCGCCATTGAACTTTTGGAGTGCTATGCAATGACCTAGATCTATATATATACATGTATAGTCAGCTACCTCGTTGTGCATGTATGCTCTGGGTGCTGCAGCAGCGCAGGTACAGCTAGGCGACTCTAAAGGTGAAGTCTGGAGCAGCTGGACCAGTGGGTGATTTAGCAGAACGGCCGAAGAGTAGCTGTTATTTGTGCATGTAAATAATTTGGGAACTATTTAAGAAGGGGTAGATTTTGTACTTTTTTTGTCTCAGTTTTCGGTCTTATGCTTATGTATCCTTACCGTTACCCCTTGATCTTTAGCGTTATCGTTAGAATGTAAGGCACAAAATGAGGCAATTTTCTGTTGCGTTTGTTACCTGGGATTTTTTTGTTGCGTTTGTTGTTATTGAGAATAATTTTGTTCAGTCTTTTAATTAGTTCCTTTTATTCGAGGAGTCGCAATTTCATTTATAAAGGTCAGTTTACAGAGATAACAACTTTTCGTATAGATTCATATTTCACAATAACTAAGTTGTGAACAATTCATATATAATAAATTCTATTTTATCACCAAAACGATGGTTATTGCAATTATTCTGGCACCAGTGCTTGCCACCGGACCATTTTACCTCCATAAATTGCTGCTCTCTGTAATAATCTCTTAAGACTCTTAAGATTATTACAGAGAGTAAGTTTGTATGGGGGTGAAGTTATCCCTTTAATATTTCTAAACTTAGCTTGTCTCCATTCTTATTACATCCAAAAATGAATATCAGAGGAAAGTGCAGCAACCTGAGATTAAGTCCTCTCAGGGACCATGCAAAGCAGAGAAACATGATCTGGCCTACTGGGCAACGCCAATATTCAACGAGTCAGTGAATGCATTGTTTACAAAAGGACCTACCAAACAACAGTTGTTTGGTGGGTGGCAGGTTTACTTATCATCATATTGGCAGACCACTTCTTCGGTCAGCTTAGCTACCCCGGTAGGTGTGGTGCTGGATTGCAACGCAATCTTCAATCTTTGCTGGCTTAGAGTTTTGCTCTCTGTAAAATTGATCATGCCTTATAACCATAGGCTAAAGTCAATCTAGGATCAAACATAAATGTTGGATCCTGTAGAATCAATAAACTGTTTCATTGTGTAAACTTCAGAAAAGTGCATGTCATTCTAGCCTTACATTGTACTGTAATATAATGGAATGGTGTTGGACTTATATATACTAAATAATCAATATGATATCGGGTTTCTATTTTATGCTTCTATTTATTTATTTATTTATTTATTTATTTATTTATTTATTTATTTATTTATTTTTTGTGAACTGAACATGCTAGACTTGGAGTAAGTGAAACTGATTGGAAGTATGGATATGGGGATTCACCCAATTTCAGTTGCCAAATTCTCTAATGCTGGCACCAACAAGATGAAAATGGTAATAATGAATAAATAAATAAATGATTTAATCTATAAGATAAAGAATAACAAAAGAACTTTGCAGCTTTTAAAGGATAAGCCTAGGTGACTATGCATCAACTGTCAGTGTTTCTTGATTTGCAAACATGCTTGATTTTCAGCCATGAGAGACCATAGGCATGACTTGCATTTTTGTGTTTGCTTGTTTAAATTAGGATTACAAAATGGCTGCATTTGGTCAATGTACCAATGTAGTGAGAATGATTGATATGTATGTTTTAAATAAATTTGCTGAACAGATTTAAAGTTAGAGTGGGTTGAATAATACATTGGCTGTGATACTCTGTTTAATGTGTAGAATGGCATTTTCATAAGCTTTTCCACTGTCAACCAGTGTCCTTGTATTCGGACATATAACTTATTTTAATATACTTAAAAGTATATATGAAACATGCTTCTTGGTTAGTGTTTTGAATTTTTTCATATATTTTGTGATCCTGTGGCTTATTTCCTACTGACAAAGAAAAATCCTTTTTTTTTCATTTAAGAGTCAGGTCAGGCACCTGCATCTGTCTCCATGCATTTTCCTCAGAAACACCATAAAAGGAACAACTTGTTACTTATTATACTCAAAATAACAGCAATGACTTAAAGTACTGAAATAAAGCTCAATTTAAAAACCACCTTTATTTATTTATTTATTTATTTATTTATTTATTTATTTATTTATTGTTGTTGTTGTTATTATTAGGATTCCCCATAGGGGAATACTATTGTTTTTGGTATTATTATTATTATTCTTTCCGCGCGTTTTTTTTCGCAAAAAATCTAAAATAATTTACATAGGTAGCCTATGGTAAGAATATGCCATAGACCCAGTTTCAGTGACCTTGACCTACTTTTCAAGGTCACAGGAGCTTTTTAAAGGAAAAATTTGTAAAATTTGAAATTGCCATTAGGCCTAAAGTATAAGCCATATGGCTAAGGGCCTTATGGTCAATGATACTGAGCCAAATCCACAGATAATGACCTACTTTTATGCAAGTAGGTCAAGGTCAAAGCTAATGGCCAAACGGGCTCAAAAAAGGTTTGTTTCCGAGATCTCAAAAACCGGAAGGCCCAGAGCCCCGATCATAGTGGCAAATGATGCCCTATATATTTATCTAAGGTTAGCCGTACTTTGGTAGCAACTGCCTTATTACTTTTTTAAATATAGATTTTTAAATATTTATGACATTGCAGAAATCTTGAGTTTGGCAATTTCTCCACGAAACACTGGTTTTTGGTCATAGCATGCTATAGTTAACTACCCCAAACATATACCCAAAACCCCCAAATCAAATGTCAAATTTGACCTTGACCCTCATTTTCAAGGTCATTTGACTATTTCATAGAGAAATATTGAAGTGGGCTACAAGTGATGTTTTGTTGACCCCCCTCCCCCAATTTGCACATGCTCGTTCAGAATATTGGGTCAAATTTAACCCATGACCTTCATATGACCTTGTAAGAGCATTTCCACACCTATTTTGCAGGGGAATCCTCCGCCACTGGCTTCAGCCAGTTGCAGTCTAGTTATTATTTGTTGTTGTTGTTGTTTGTGAATTATTTCATGCTTTGATATTTTCAAAGTGTGAATTCTACAGTAGTACATAATTAAAAGTTGGGATGTTAATTATGATATTAAGCACTATATACATAATATTGCATGGAAATTGACCTAAAAACATGAAGTGCATTGTCATAATTAACTCCATAAAAGTAAAACTGAGTTACTTATTATTCTTAAACTGACAAGAATGATTTGTAGGTCTGAAATACCTGTGGAGTTTAAAAATCAGCCAGATTAGGTTATTTTCTCCTGAAGTTAGATAGGTTTTTGTTAATTTTTCACTTTTCACAAATTGGCATTTTCTAGGTGTGGCTTTGAATTCCAATGGGTGTGAAGCCATGTGCTACATATATGTAGTCTTTTTTTCCAATCCAAAAGAATTATTTTCAGACATATACAGATACGAAAGGCATTGCATGATCATAGCGTTTTTTTTTTTCTGCAGATATCCTCTTCCTGTCAGCAAACTACTGATGTAATACGTACCTGAAGAGATTGCACATATTGTTTGCCCAAGAAAAAAACTCATGACTGACAGCCAGCTATAGTTCATTTGAAAGGACACAATGTATACAAATTACAAACAGAGGTATAAGCTCAAAATTTGAAATAAATTAGATTGATTCTTAATGGAGCATATTATTTTCACAAAAACAAAAGTATGCTATTAATTTATTCATGTACAAACATTTAAGGTTCATTTTTTCTTCCATGGCACTCAACGGGTCTACTAGCATTCAACACAGTAAAAAACTGTAAAATAAGTAGGAACATTTGTACTGAGCTATTATTTGTAATTTTTTTTTTTAGCTCAGAGGCAGGTGTTATCACAGGCCAGTCAAAGTCCAGAACATTTGTATCCTTCTCCATCAATGGAAAAGCCTATCAAGGTAGTCTTTTGATACTTAATTTGTAATCTCAGAATTTAGATTTTACCATGATGTATTAAAGTTTAAGGCAAAGGAAGAAAATCAAGTAAGTATATCCTTCAGTATTTAAAATTGTTCAGTTGTAGAAAAATATGTATGTAACTTAAAAGGCTCTCTGAGCTCACTCACTTAATATTGAATACTAAAAAGCAAGACATGCCAGATTTTTTACATGTTGTCTTGTATTATGTATTGATTAAGGTATGCAAAAATTAATCTAGAACTAAACACTTTTCCTTGGGGACAATTTTTCAACTTTTGCTCCCAATTTCTTAATAGATATTTTAGGCAGATTTTTAATTGGATTTTATTTCTCTTCTAGTCAGTGGTGAACACAGCCTAGACACTCCTCTGGCAGTTTTTATTCGTGATGTAGCAGGCTTAAAGGGAACAAAGATCTCATGTCGAGAGGGAGGCTGTGGTGTTTGTATTGTTTCTGCTAAGAAGTATGACCCAACCACCAAGAAGTGTATTACCATTTCTATAAATTCGGTATGCTTGTTTTCACTGCTAATTAAAAACATCATTAATTGTGTCAGACTTTCTTTACTTTTTAAGAAGAGCCAAACTTTGAAATATATAAATTTGACTTAGAATTGGCAACTCAGCTGTTTGTATTAACTAAACATGATGTGCCACACTAGAGTCTTGAGTTTAATTTTGATTATGATTAATGTTCAGTGGGGCAAATATGAAAGCTTAGCTTATAAGGATGAGTCAGAACTTTGAAAGCTTGCATATGTTGAAAGAAGTCTGTTGTCTAATCAGAAAATTTAAAAATCACATTGAAAATGATTTTTCAAGAAAAATTCTTCTTTTAACATAATATTTTATATAACTCTATGTAAGTAGTTAAATCTTTAAAACCAGATTTACATATTTGATGTGCTAATTCTTCATAAATTGTTTTAAAAAATCATATTTAATTTTATTTCAGTGTTTGTGCCCTGTGTATTCCTGTGATGGCATGGAAATCACCACAGTGGAGGGACTGGGGGATAAGACCAATGGCTATCACCCCATCCAAGCCAGACTGGCAGATTACAATGGAACCCAGTGTGGCTTCTGCAGTCCTGGCATGGTCATGAACATGTACAGGTAGGAGATTGTTATGAAAGTATGGAAAGGGTGGTTTTGTTAGGTAACATTCAGCCACTAATGCAAAAAGAAAAGAAATGGAATTGTACATTGTATTAATTCAAATTGGTACATGTGTCTTTAAATCAGCCATGCGTTATGCATAATGGCCATTCCAAGCATTCTACTCCACACATTTTCCCTTTGTAACATCTTTTTTTCTTCTAATTTTTTTCAAATGATGCTTTGAAAAAGAAACTTGATGAAAATACTTAACATTAAATGTCTGAGTGTAAGTTGGAAGGAAGAGAAATGTCAGAAAGTTTAAGTAAAAAATGTGGAATGGCTCATGAAATGGGAGATGTTGAGTACATAAAATAAAATGTTTGCATTTATACATATCTCAATCTGATTATATAGATCTGTAATTTATGCATGGTTTATATATGATATTCAGCTTATTGAATGAAAACCCGAAACCTAGCAGTAAGGAAGTGGAGGACAACTATGATGGCAACATTTGCAGATGTACAGGTATGATTTTAAAACTAGATCATAGTTTTTAGTGGGCTTGATTTGGTCTTAAAGTGCAATTTAAGATCACAAATAGTCTTACATGATCTTAAACCATGAGTAAGACCATTTCTGGCCTAACAGCCAATTAAGTTGTCTCCCCTTACACATTCTCCTATTGTGAGCAGAGGTGTCCTCTATTGTGAGGGGAGGTATCACCCATTGCCCACTTAAGTAGATGTTAGATCACTTTTGATCTTAAAAGCAGATTCAGTCCATTTTAAGACTACTGCTGTAATAATTAAGATTATGTAAGATCACTAGTGATTTTAAATTGCACTTTAAGACCAAATCTAACCCACTACTGAAGACTAGATCATAATTTTTAAAAAGTATTTCAACTCTTTAATATACTCAATTCTCTGAAACTTAAGTATTTTTATAAAGAAAGGATCTATTTTTGATAAAAACAGGATTGTTATTCATTTTATTGCAGGGTATCGCCCTATAATGGATGCCATGAAGTCATTTTCTACAGACGCTCCAACTTCTACTACTCTACCATGTGGAGTAATTGATTTGGAGGTAGGTGTCTTGTAACAGCTTGCAATTATCTTTTGATGGAGATCAGGCCTACCCAACTACCAGACTCGGCACCAAATGATCTCGAGTTCACCGGTAGATCGGACCGCACTATCCATTTTCAAGGTGTGCGTCAGTACGCATTTCACAGTGTCATACCCGGAACAAATTTTGAGATGAGGTGCAATACTTTCCAACCCTGCTGAGAATCATCACTATCACATTGCGTACTAGGAAAGAGCGGTGTCGCATCTGATTCTTCGAAGCATGTACTGACACACACCTTAAAAACAGGCAGTGTGGTCCGATCTACCGGTGAAATCAGGATCATTCAGTGCTGAGTCTGGTAGTTGGGTAGGCCTTGAGATGGTTCACAAAGAAGGCCTCAAGTTTTTATGCATTTTTGTTTTTCTTATCCCATTGTACACACTCTACTGTTTTCTGTCAACACTACAGGCCATTCCAAAGTATCTCCCTCTCACAACTTTTAGTCTCTGTAAAAATTTTGTCACTTTATTCCTTCCATTTTAGTACAGGTAATGTAGAAGGTGAAACTACTCATATATTTTTTTCATTAGAAATGATATGTAGAAGGGGAACAAGAATTATAGAGGCAAGTTGCCTTCATAAGATATGAACACAAGATATGAACAGGAGCAAGAAAGAAGTCTGAAATAAGCTGTCAGCATGAATTGTTTTTCAGGACCTTGGTGCCAGGTGCTGTGGCAGTGGCCAGGCTGGGTGTAATGGTGTCTGTAGAAATAAAGTGCCAGGCTGTGTGGACTTGGGGCAAATAGAGATAACTGTGGGGGACAAGTGTTGGGTGAGGCCCACCAGTTTGGCAGATACATTCACCATCATGAATACTATGCTAGCACAGGGGAAAACTGTCAGACCTTTCCTGGGAAACACTTCTGTGGGTAAGGACATTTTGGGATGTACATGAGTACAGACAGTTTGGGATTTTGGTGTGGACAATTTGGGATGTGGGTATAAAGACAAGTTGGAAATGGAATAAAACTTGGACATTTTGCTCTTTTCAGCTCCTTAGCACTTTGCCAGCTATATTATATTAATTATGTGCACCTATCTAAATGTCACAGCATATAATGTATGGCTGTACATGATAAGATGATGTTTAAGATAAGAATAATATGGGCCAGAAATATACATATTAAAAAGCTATTTTGATAAATAGGTGACAAAAAGATTTAGCTTATCAGCTAGTGGCTGTTTATTGTGCCTTCCATAATGTATTATTGTTCACCATGAATGTTACAACAAAAAATAGAGTTGATAATAATGTTACAAGTGCAATTTTTTGCATGACATGCCATTGTAAATGCTAGTTTTAGTTTCATGAAAAAAAACAAGCTGTTTGTACATTTTCTTTATGGTGGCACTGTTTAGATGACATAAAGTTGTTTTCATTTTCTGTATTTAGTTCTGTGATAATCACTGCAAAAGTGTTATAATTAAGAGGTGAATGAATAGATAAAAAAAACTGATCAAAATTAGTGATAAACCTTTTGTAAGGAGTGTAAGACTTGGTTGGAATTTAACCCAGATTAAATGACTGGTGGATGCAGGATTTCAAGGAAGGGCTTTTTTAGTGCTCTTATGGTCTAGATCTTTTACGTTAATTGTCAAATTGTAGACTGAAAGAATATATTGATATTATTCCAGGCATATTCAAAGATGATGGTCCATTTGATGTTTATATTGACCTGAAAGGTGTGGAAGAGCTCTACAACATCTCGGTGTGTACCTTAGAATTATGTTACTATTAGAATTTAACACATGCACATTGTATTTAAATTCGGGTTTGACATTTATAAGCACCATTTGAGAATCACACTATTTGTGTATAAATGAATGTACCAACATGTACATGTAGTTATACAAAGTATTGTTGAAATGTAAGTTACATACATTTTTCAGTACATTGCATGTACTTGAATTTATCAGATGAACTTTTATTTAAAGGGTTTTATTGTCTTTAGAGTCTGAATTGGGAAATTAAAGGAGCTTTACAGGACATGAATGTGACTGTTGGGGATTTTCAAATGCTTTGAGAGAGAGACTCTAGAATTTATTTTTAATGGAAAAATGCGGGAGTGGCCCTTGAATGTACCTTTAGAATAATATAATAGCTACCCTTTTATTCTGAACAGCAAACCAAATCAGTGACCTTTGGTTCTAATGTGAGCTTGTCTGCAGTGAAGGAACTGGTGCAAAAGTTGTCCATACAGCCTGGTTATGGCTACTGCAAAGGTTTGCTGCACCATCTGGATCTGGTGGCCAGTAAATCTGTCAGAGATGTAAGTACTATATATAATTACTCAAGGAATTCAAATAGCACAAATTCATTTTGATAATATTTCCTTATAGAATTATGCTATAATGTAATAATTTTATTCTGTTACTTTTCTTCTAGTGTGGAAGCTGGGCTGGTAATGTGATGATGAAGCAAAAGCATCCAGATTTCCTTTCTGATGTCTTTGTCATCTTGCAAACTGCAGGAGGTGTTCTCAGCATTGGTAGGCCAGGAGTAGTTCCTGAATTTTTAAAATGAAATTTTGAGTTAAATATTATGATAAGTATCAAGTCATCATTTTAAGATTTTATTTGTTCATTAATTAACACTATAAACCTGTTGAGGGAGGGTTTTTTCTTGGCTAACTTAATTTATTTTATATTATATATTTTATATACATTGTTAGTAAAGTGTTTCATCTTTTATAGCAGTTAAGAGAGGTTTATGTATATGTTGCCCATGAAAAGACAGGCTATGTTTAATGCCTCTTTAGGTGACGGCAGTAAGGTGAAGACAGTGAGTCCTGTGGAGTTACTGAAGGAGGACATGGATGGCAAGTTGTTGTTGAGTTGTGAGCTGCCTCCAAGAGATGACAGCTACTTTGTGCACTCATACAAAGCAATGCCAAGGTCAAGGGTGTGTAAGAGAATTTTTATAGCATTGACAGATATGTATGATAGATTATTTTTATTATTGTTTGTAATAAGTACTTAAGAGCGTGGCATGATGTTATTCTTAAATATTTTTGAAAAAGGAATGTTTTTTTTTTAATTATTAAATCATCAAATTTTAGTATGCAAAGGAAATACAAGAATGAAATGAATTTATGATATTTTAAAAAGTATTTGTATGCTGTGCTCTCTTCCAGTTTTCCCATGCTTATGTGAATGCAGGTTTCATCATGAAGGTTGATACTGCTAACAATTATACAGTGGTTGAGAAGCCAATGGTGATTTTTGGAGGCTTTGGTGCTCATTTGGTAAGTCAAAACATTTCTCACTTTTCTTTTGTCCTTTCTTTTTTTTTTGGGGGGGGGGAGGTGCCATTAAACTCCATTTTAAATATTTTGTTGAAGAGAGTAGTCTTTAATTTTTTAGTATTGGAATTTCAGAACAGAGCAGATCAATTGGAAACATATCTTAATGGAAAGAGCCTGCTTGATCCAAATGTGTTGACAGGTATTATGACATTTATATTACCAATTGCTTAGCTGAAAAATGTATAAACATGTAGTTCTTCAAGTTCAGTTTTATGTACTTTGTAACTTTTCCCCATGTAAATTGAGTTGTGATAACTCAGAAGAAAATTTGTTGTGTGAGATTATCATTGCAAAAGTTTCAGTGGACATGACAGTGTTTTGTTCACTGCAGGAGCTCTGTCTGTCATTGAGAAAGAAACCCAATCCACTGCAGACTATGTGTCAGCAAGTCCAAAATGTAGAACTGAACTGGCCCAGGCTTTTTTCTATAAGGTAACTTCACTTTGTATAAGGCAAGGGTATTATTATTTATATAGAACAAAATTACACAAATTTAACTCACACAATCTCAGTGCTTTTCTGTTTAGGAGTATCATGTACAAAGTCTATTAATGCTGTCGGTTCAAGTAATGACCTGCAAAGAGTGACAATTAAACCTAATAAACCATTTTCAAAATATTATAGTACCTATTCTCCTGTGTTTGCAGTTCCTTCTCAAAGTATGTGAAAACAAGATACCAGCCAACCTGAAGAGTGGGATGGCCAACCTTGACCGTGCACTCTCTGAGGGTCAGAGGAAGTTCCCAACTGACCAACAAAGCTGGCCTGTGAACCAACCATTAATGAACACACATGGCAAGACACAAGTAAGGGACACCTGTTTCTGTAATTACAAAACTATTCTAACAGATTTTGTGATATCTCAACACTTTAATTTTAAGTAAAAATTAAATAATAAGTTTATCAAGTTTTAAAGAAAATATCAGTGTTTTATGTGATTTATCCACTCATAAATTGAATGCCCAAAGGTTCTCTGGTTTGAGCTAATGAAATATTTTGCTCAGAATCATTTTGACCTTATAGACTGTAAGGAATGTGCATGTAGGTGTAGTGAGCAAGATATAAGTGTATTGGAATGATAGCTCTTTTGGGAAAAATTAACATATACAAAAATGGATGTAAGAAGTGAAGATTACAACAAATGATATGTTTTGTGACCCAGCTACCACTGTAGTAAAAAAATTTGCCTGACCTTACTCATCTCACTATCCACGATGATATGAACTTTTCTAGGATTCTATACAATACAAATCTTATAATCAACATTTTGGTCCTTGTCAGACTTCAGGTGAGGCAGAGTATGTGAATGACATACCCACTATGCCAGGGGAGCTCCATGCAGCCTTGGTCATAGCTGGAGTGGGGAATGCCAAGCTGGACAGCATGGATGCCACAGAGGCATTGGTGAGTTGTTGTAGAAGGTGGATAAATGATACCATGCGCTTCAGGTCTCATGGGTGTCAGCTTCTTCGTTTTTCAAACCTCATGTGCTTTGACTGTCAGTTGCAAGTCTGTTTGATGTTAGCCTGGATGCCAATTGCAGACAGGCATGCACTTGTCTAGATTTCATGGCAGGAGGGCATATGATGTAATAGACATATCAAACATTCGCAATTAGTGCAGTAAACTTCAATCACTATCAAGCAATTGTCTTAAGTTCAGATGCAACAAGTGAGCATGAACAGGACTTTTTAAATGAAGAGGCTGACACATGTTGCCAATGAAACTGTTGCTAAATAGGCAAATAAACTCTGAATGGTCTGTTTTGTAACATTTGCTATTATGTGTATCTTTAAGATACAGCTTTGTTAGTCATGTTGTCGTGTGTATCACCATGAAATAAAAAAGAAATTAAGTAAATGATTATTTTCAATGAGAAAAGGTGATTATTCTTCCTGTACTGTACCTCAGTATCAGCCGTCACTGTTGAAAATAATGAAAAAATACAAAAAAAAGTATAAGTCTACAAATGACTATTTTGTTCACATATTTACCAGTACTTTTTAAAAATTAGAATTTACTTATATGCAGAAAATGCCAGGAGTTGTGAAGTTCATTACAGCAAAAGACATTCCTGGAGTGAACAGCATTGCCCCCAAAATAATGGAACCTGAAGAGGTAAGAAATAAAAAAGAGAAATATTTGCATATGATATTAAATTTTGATTTAAGGTGTTTGTAATATTTTGAAAAATAAACTTGTTTTTGTTAATGAAACTTTTAGAATCTCTGAATGGCCTTCCTTATAAATAGAATAGTATATATTTTTTATGTTTAATTTATTTTAGTGTTTGGTGTCTGAAGACATCTTGTATGCAGGACAGCCTGTGGGAATAATTGTTGCAGGTATGAAACATATAAAAATATGCATAATATCTTAAAAATTGCTTCATCAAATTAACACTCAGGGATAAAGAAAACGTGCTGATGAAAGGTATTTTATTATCATGGTGTGTGCAATTTGGATTTATTTACTCCTCATTCTTAATGCCAGACCTCTATAAAATAATAGCAGATGAAAATTCTGGGGGAAATATGTTTCAATTTTTATTTTAGAATCACAGCTTATTGCTGATGCTGCAGTCAAGGCAGTGAAGATTACATACAAGGATAAAAAGACCCCAATTCTGACCTTTGAAGATGCCATCAAGCACAAATCCTTCTACAAGGACCCAGAAAATGAAATCACCATTGGAGATACAAAAGGTACATAGATATATACATATATTTAAAAATCCTACAAAACCTCTAACACTTTCAGAAGATATAGATCTGTGTGTCATAATAATTGCCTCATACTGTTCATTTATTTGCTGGCATGTTGAATGCCCTGCAAGTGTACTCTTTCTGTAAATTTATCATCTCATGTCATTTCAGCTGCTCTGGCCACTGCCCACAAGGTCATCAAAGGAAACATTGAAGTGGCCACCCAGGCACACTTCCCTATGGAGACACATGTACGTTCATAGTATTTTGTGTTGTAAAGTGTAGTGTAGTGTAGAGTAGCGTAGTATAGTGTAATGCAGTGTTATGTACATGTAGTGTAGTGTAGCATAGCATTCAGACCGTTGATGTCTGACGGTTCATATGTTATTTCATATATCATGTACTAAAAGATATATAATATAATTTCACAATATTTAATTAAATGCAACCTGTAGTTTTTATAAATAAATGGAAGTATTGTTTTTATTGGTAATAAGCCTGTGTTTCTAAAAGTGCTTTTTGTTAAACCTATATAAGAGGTTCTTTTTTTTAAAGTGCACTGTTACCATCCAACTACAATGTACATGTATATCTAGTGACTTGGACGCAAATATGATGAGCCTGTGTTTATGTTCTTTACAGATCTGCCTGACAGTTCCCAAAGAAGATGGCTACAATGTCTACGCTGCTACACAGTGGATGGACTTCGCACAAAATGCAGTAGCACAGGTGTTGGGGGTGCCTTGTAACGAGTAGGAAATTTGTTAATTATGACTTAATATTACACAGTTGTAGTCTACATCTAAGTTTAAATTTTACAATTTAGGTTTTTATACTGTTAAGTTTTCGTAGGAAGAATGTATTATCATCTGCATATCCCCTCCTTTTGGTTTACTTAAAGACACACGAAGATATATGGAACCAGTAGCATTTAGCTATCCAGAAATTTCAACACGTTTCCCTTTTTTATCAAAATATACCAAAATATTTCACAGAATTGTGATCTATAAACCAGTGTCTGAGTTTTAGGTTTGCAATTTTTTTTAGTTTGACTCATGATTTAGGTAAGGACTGGTGCATTTCACAAATGACATTTAGGATTAGAAATTGAAACTTGAAAATAGGTTCACAGATTGTCATTGTTTAATGGTTTTGGACAGGACACATATTGGAAATAAAGGGAAAATTCCCAAGATTTTTATTTTAGGTCTAGTGGACAAAGTATGCACATGAACAGAAGTTGATAATATGTTTCAGTGTTAATATGGAAGTGAGAAGACTGGGTGGTGCTTACGGTGCAAAAATTTCTAGAAGCTTCCATACAGCCTCAGCCAGTGCCCTTGCTGCACACCTGTTACAAAGGTAAAAATAATTAAAATGAATAAGTTAACCCTAAAAAATTATTGTGATAATACTGTGTATCGTTATACAAAAATACATCAAAATTCACTAAATAACCTATTCTGTTCAGCATTTTTACTGAATTTACATTTTACTGCTTTGCTGTCTTGTTTTATAAACTCAATCTCTCATATTTTCTGTTACAAAGATGAGGAAATAATACTGTGCAAAAAGATTCCTCTGTTTATCAAAGATTAATTTAGTAATACAGAAGATTGCAGTTTTATTGAATTAATTTCACTGTAGTTTAACACTTCTTTTCTTACAGACCTGTCCGCCTGTTAATGACTATGAACACAATGTTGGAGTCCTGTGGCAAAAGGTTCCCCTACTATGCTGAGTATGAGGTAATGAGAGGTGAAATGTAAAATTACTCTCCACCTGCACTGGAACTGTTGATTGGGAATTCAATTTCAGTTTTAATTAGTAGTAGTAAGTCTAGAGAGAAAAAAATCACCCCAGAGGTTTATTTATTTATTTATTATTTTCTCTGTTGTCAAATAAAATTGACTTGCTGAAATGCATAATACACTTTATAATGCAGTGATTAAGTAGTACATGCTCATAAATTACAAAGATGCAGTGTCAATTATCTAAAATGATAACAGGATTCCACAGTGTATGTTGATGTATGTTGTAGGTTGGAGTGAGTGCAGAAGGCAAGCTACTGGCTGTAGATGCTAAGATCTATGGTGATTGTGGTTCCAATCGCAATGATTCCACCATCAAGCATACCATGGGGGTCATGGACAATGGTATAGTGTGCATTTAAGAAGAATTTGATAAATAAATGATAGTTGACGATTAATGATTATCAGTAGGATTCTTGTAGTCTATTTATAATATTTTTTATAAATTTCTTGTTGTTTATATGTTGATAGTCCTTCTGTTATTAATATTTTCTGTACACTGTTTATAGTTGGAAGCATTTATTTTTATCCTGGATTGTCACAGTGACAAAAAGTATCGTTTGGAATTTTGGAAGGGACTTTTTGTGGTAAAATAAATAGAATGCAGTATCAAGATGTTATTTTGATGTTGTATGCTTCTGTAGGTATGCTAGTTTATGACCATGAACGGAAGCTTTTCCTCAGCTAATGTAATTTTTATGTACTGTTTTCTTTAGATTTTTTTAACAATTGTTCTCTATTCCAGCTTACCAGTGTGATAACTGGCACACATATGGAGTGACTGTAAAGACCAACACACCACCCAACACTTACTGTAGAACTCCAGGTGAGTAGAAACATTCAAATTTTGTTAATGCCACCTTTTCCTTTTCACAAGGTTTTATGTTGTGATGCCTATAGTATACCATGATTTTATCATGATTTAGTGATAAGTCTTCACAGAATATAAGATGATGAATTTATGGTAATAGAAGTTGAAGTCAGTGATTTTGTTTCTTTTGTAGGCTATACACCAGCCATATTCATCATGGAGAGCATCATAGAACATGTGGCCAAGGCACTGAACAAGGATCCAGTGGAAATCCGTAAACTCAATTTGTACAAGGAAGGAGAGGTGAATTAATATACTTTTCAATAACTATGAAAATACATTGTGCAGTCTTTTCTATTTATTAGGTATCACTAATACTTCAGTTGATTATAAAACCCTAAAAGAACTTTTGAATTATCTTATATGATTAATTGGAAATATTTTTGTCATTTTTTATGAAAATGCTGGATTTCCACTGGTGAATATTTTATTCCATATATGAAGATGTGCACAAGAGGGAAGGCATGCCATTTTTCACACATTTAGAGGGATTTACCTTTCTTTTCTGCCTTTTGACAAAGTAATGTATTTCAACTAACCATATTGGACATTTTCAAGTATTTGTATCTAGAGGTCCAACTGATTCACACAGTTCTGTTATTTCAGACTACTCTACGCAAAGAGGTTCTGCAGTATTGTAGTGTGTCCAAAGTCTATGACCAGCTGCTGAAGTCAGCAGATGTGCAGGCCAGGGCACAGAAAGTGGCTGACTTCAATAAGGTAGGTTGTAACCGCCTTTTGGAGTTTCATTAGTGCTTCAGTGTAAAGCTGTAAGATTTGTTACATTTTAAAGAAAGAACCTACCTCTTTTCATTTTCTTACTATAAAGCACATTTATTTAATACAGTGATATTTTCTCTTTTATTTATTGTAACATTCAGAACAACCGTTGGAAGAAGCGTGGCATGTGTGTTATGCCCATGAAGAATGCTGTGTCCTGGAACTGGTATATGGGCAATGCATTGGTCAATATCTTCAACCATGATGGCACAGTGGCTATTGCACATGGTGGTATAGAGATGGGACAAGGTATCAACACCAAGGTACAGGAGTTCCAACTAAGAACGGCTTTTTTTTACAAAAATAAGAAAGACAAACTGTTTTTTATTTTATTATGATACATGCTTTTTTCATTAAATGTAATTTGAAATACAGGAGTTTTTTAGTTACACATTTTGCTTGCAAATTATTCCCCATATACATGTATACAGTTTATATATAGTATGAAAATGGTATGAAATATATAGATGGATGTGGGACATTTTAAAGTAACAGCATGTTATACTTAATATAAGTAGACTATGTGATAATTTTTCTTCAAAGATAATGTTTTGAAATACAGTTTTTGATCAATTGCATGTTACAGGTAATTCAAGTAGCAGCACATACCTTGGGCGTCCCAATAGAGTTGGTTAAGTGCAAGCCAAACAGCTCCATGTGTAATGCCAACAATATTGCAACGGGTGGGAGCATCACCAGTGAAATGTCCTGCAAGGTAATGCCACTCCCAGCTGTTATTTTAAAATTTGGGAAGGGGGGGGGGGCAAAATGATTATCTGTATTGAATATAATTCTTACTGGATCTAACTCTAACTAGGTTGTTGCATTGCTACCACAGTAAAATGTTCTTGTTTAATAGAAACTGCCCCTCATTATATTATTTTATTTTGTGTAACAATAATTATAAAACCTTTACTGATTTTAAGGCTGTGTATGAGTGCTGCAAGACATTGAAAGAAAGGTTGGAACCAATCCAGCAAAACCTGCCACCTGACACTCCATGGCCACAGATAATCCAAGCAGCATTTTGGCAAAAGGTGGATCTGTCAGCCAGATATTAGTAAGTGAAAAATGAGAATTAAATGCAAGAAATTCCAGAATATGTTATTGTTAAAAAATGTATATGCATGTGCATGTTATGTAAGACAAAAACTCAAAAGAAAACAATTTATTGCAGCGTTGCTCCCCGCGGCTCTGGGCCTGATTACTTTGTGTATGCTGCTGCATGCAGTGAGGTGGAACTGGATGTTCTAACTGGAGAAACAGTGGCACTGAGAACAGATATTTTGTATGACTGTGGAAAAAGGTGAGCAGAGAAAACCCAAATTTATATGAAATTTAAATATAATTTGTTTATATAATAAACAAATTATATATAATTTATCAGAATTAAATGATGAATACTTTTTATTTTAGATTCATGTTGCTGTTTTCAAAATCTAAATAAATGCCTTTAAAGGTGTGATAGACATTTACTTTGTTAAATTTGCATTTAAAGTGTCACGATAAATTATTTATTAGATGAGTTGTAGCTTATTTTTAGCTGTGGTGTTGATTTGGATGCACTCATTTCTTATTTCAGTCTTAGCCCAGAGATTGACATTGGTCAGATAGAAGGATCTTTTGTGATGGGTTTGGGCTACTGGATGACAGAAAAGACCAGATTCAACCTGGAGACTGGAAGAAACATCACTCATGGAACATGGGTATGGAAATCATTTCATCAGCAAGATTCAAATTATTATTTTTCACCTTATACTAGACTTTTCCTTTATCTCAAACAATTCTTGTCATGTGGGTTTTTCATTTGTATTTGTTTGAATTAATATGATGATTGCTAACTTAAATCTTAAAGTGATGAACATAATTCCAATTCTATAAGTGAGTGAGTTATGTCTCTGCTGTTTAGACTACTGTACTAACAGTTTCCTTTTAGTAAAGTTACTTTTTCAGTTATATAAAAAATGCCCTTTTGTCATAGAAGTGTCCATGTTTTAATTTATGCCACTAATTATTTTAAGGAATACAAGGTGCCCCTGGCTAAAGACATCCCCAGGGATTTCAGAGTGGAACTTCTTGATGAAGCACCTAAACCAGTAGGGTTCATGGGATCTAAAAGTAAGGGAAAATGTCTATCCCTAGTTAACTAAAATTGAAATAATTATTTTTGTAATTTACATCTCTTATGAGCATCAGTGTGTTTGATAAATTTTAATACTTGATTTCCATTGATGAAAAAATTATTTTTAACTTTATACTTCAGCTGCTGGAGAGCCACCACTTGTTCTCAGTATGTCTGTACTGTTTGCTGCCAAACATGCTGTGCAGGCTGCCAGAGCAGACATTGGGAAAGACAAAGAATACTTTGCTTTGAGTAAGTGGACCACTAGTGTCTGAATTTACTCCAAGTTATGTCAAAATTTCTTTAAAAGGACTGCTAATTCCAATTCTCAAGTTTATGTTTTAGTGAGATTTCATTTCCACTGATAAGTTGGTTGTATTTTTAACATATAAGGGTGGATGCTTAATATTTTACATCTCTGATTCTAATTTTTTTTTTAGGAGGTGGGGTAGTTTTTATATTTTCCTTTTAAATTAATGTTGAACCAATGATATGATGAAGAATTAATTTCTTTTTACTTTCCAGATGGCCCTGCAACTGCAGAGGCCCTGCAGCAAGCCTGCCTTGTGGAGCCCAAACACCTGACCTTGAAAGCCTAAAGACACAAGAGGCTGGAATGTGGAGTGGGCAGTCTACATCTTATGCATTGAAAGAATAAACACTCCGCCAATTAATTTTGCCCATGTGCATCTTTTATATTCCAAGTCAAAAAAGTATTTCAGGATATCCTTGTGATATAGGACAAAGGGCAGGGATGATGAGTTTTCAGTAATATTTTTCATTGAATGAAAAACCATAGGTAATACATAGACAAATTTATTGAAAATGAAGCCTTATATTGTCATATTTACTCCTATGCCTTTTTTTCAAAATTTGATACCAGAACAAAACAGCAAGAGAAAATGGCATATATTTTAAGCATGATTCAAATTTTAATTGTTTTATATATTCCTTCCACATTCCAAGTTTTCATATGTTTTCTTATATGTTATTTTTCTTTTATTATAAATCCTTAGCTTTTAAATAATTTTCATATTTTAACATTCATTGAAATATTGAATAGAAAACATTGAGCGTTATAAAGGAAAGCACTTGTATCTGGAAAAGTATAAATTACAAGAATGGAGCTATTCATATCCCAGCACAAATGAGATCTATTTAATTGGATGCTTGTGTGATAGAAATTGTAAACTAATTAAATGGAAGATGGCCATTAAGTGCATATCTTTTTAGTGCCATTTGAAGCCTATCTGTATTCTTTACAAATACAATATCAACCACAATTAATCCAGTGTACAACGTTATAGACATCTATTTAAGTGGAAACTTGTGTGACATTTCAGAACTTTTTAACTACTAGTATTTAAATGGAAAATTTTGCCATTTAGTATCTATTTAATGCCATTTAAAGAATATATATATATATATCTGTATTCTTTATGTACAAATGCAGTTGCTTGGTCTAAAGTTTGAACTTTCTATAAGAAGGGAAAAGGGAGCCATTTTGATGGTTTTGAATGAAAAAAATGTTTAAAGTGGGTCTTACTGATTTAGCCAGTTATTTTGAAGATGAATATTTCTCTGAATCTTTGTCTTATTTCTCATAAATACCAATTAAGAAAAAATATATCAAAAGTGCAATGTCTTTTTGCATCTCCATTTCTCACCATTACTGTGCAGCAAGTAGTATCCATCAAGCAAACTATAATTGGCTAGAAGTGTAGGGACAACTGCTTGTGACATCTTTCAAGCAAGTGAGGTTCATAATAACTTGTTTTTGAATTATTTTTTATTAACTGTTGCCCCACAGGCCAATTTCGCTTTAGATTATGTTCTCCAAACAACACTGATGCCTTTTATTTCTGCACATTTCAGTATGACCCACTTTGAATAGATTTATCATTAAATGTGGACAGTGTTACAACAGTATATAACATATTTGTTATGTTAACAGAGCCCAAATATAAAAAAGAATAAAACTGTAGATTCACAAGCTATGCTAAATGTTTGCATTTTTCTCAAAAAAACTAAGCTTTGCAAGCATTTCCTAATGGAATGAATCAATTTAGCCAACTGAGCTTAACTTATAAAACAGTTTTTTACATTTAATCAAGTTTACACAAGGCATGACTTGCAAAATCACATAATTCCATTGTTTTTAATTCAGTCCTTCAGGCACACCTGAACTTCTGGCCAATAGGTGTTGGTGCCAATATTCAGATTCCAAGCTCGTGTCTATTACACAGAGCACATTACAACACCTTGAATGTCCTCTATGAAGGGATCAAAATTTATTTACTGAAGGGCACATCAATCAGTAAAATGGAAGATACTTTTTCATAATCCTCATGATGTGTTTGAAAACTGAAGTGTAATCTAGTCAATCTCGGGTGTAATTTGTATCACAGACATATGTAACACACGATAACAAGTTTTTAATCACTGTCGTCATGCTGCCTACTTCTTATTGATCTTTTGCCTTGTTTTCGACTTTTAAACTTTGTGCTATCTGGTCTGGATTCTTCTGTGATGGACTTGTCTGAATCTTCTAAGTGTTCTAAATGAAGTGTAGCTGATGCTGCTGGTTTAGCAGCATCCATTTGTTTAAGTTTTGTCTTTGGTTTCGGCTTCTCTCCTATCACATACTCAGGCATGACAACTTTGCCTCCTCGAAACTCGGGTTTAGATGAAAAAGTGTGAGAAGTATCATCAGACAAATGTGATGGTGCTGGTTTTTTGAAGACTGGAACCTTAGATGCCCCAGGATAATCTTCATCACTGACTGAATCTTTAGCTGAACTTTCTCTTAATTTTCGTCGCTCCTCAAGAAAAGACAGAGCTGCACTCGTATTGCTGGCTTCGGACAACTGACTCTCCGGGACATCCAAGTCATATCGTGTCCATTTCTCTGGGTGAATGCGATAATCTGGAATGTTTCTATTGCCCCTCCGTTTAGCTGGCACAGGAAATCTTCGGGGAGGCGCTGGTCGTTTGAATGGTCTCCTCAGCTCTTCCACCACCACGGGTTCCGATTTCAACAATTTATCGTCCTCTGCCCTGTCTGATCTCCTTCTGTGCTTTTCATATGCATGGTGTTTATCTTCTAACGCGTTGAGACAAGAAAACACATCGGAGCTCTTGTTCTTAAAGGAGGTACTGACTCCATTTAAAGCAAATCCTGACTGTTTGTTGTCTGGTGAAGAACTCATGATCTTGTTTGTGTACACAAGAGCATAAATGTTTGTCAGTAAATAGTATTATTAACTAACAAATACTTTAAAGACGTCGAAAAGATGTTTTTGTTTACATGACCCAGAAACCACGCACCTTCAAGGGCGCAGCCATATTGAATACGGAAATAGCCGAAGTTGGCGGCATGTTTTTTCATGTCAATTAAATCCAATATATGTAATTAAACATTGATATGTGTCATTACATATGCACAATTTAAGAATTTAGATTACTTAAGAAAATAATTTTAGTCGGAATTTAGTTTTTCGTTTTTCTGAAAAAAGGCGGAAACAGTCGAGCAGCCGGCGCCATAAAGAGTTAGCTTGTCATTGTTCAGATACTGACGGTGCTACACCAGATATTTCGGATTATTAGACCTCCGATACTACCAAAATGAGTGGTGGGGTTTATGGGGGAGGTAAATTGTATGCTTTGTATTCTCTCTCTCTCTCTCTCTCTCTCTCTCTCTCTCTCTCAAAATAGTATAACCTTATAATGAAAAAAATCATGAGTTTCTATTAGGTTCCAAAATCCCTGACTATATTAATATTATTATTAAAGGCCTTCTTATGTGATGATGCTTAAATTATTTACCACCACATTATCATTCAGTGGGCCTTTCCTAAAAAGAAAATCATTTTAAATTTGGCTTGAACTTTCAGATGAGGTTGGTGCCCTCGTGTTTGACATTGGCTCATACTCCTTCAGAGCAGGCTATGCAGGGGAAGACACACCTAAGGTAACGACATTGTTATTGTAAGTGACACAAGTTGTGTGTTGTTGAACAACCTGCATTGCAATCAGTGTCTTCTCCAGATGTGAAAACTGTTCAATTCAAATGACTTGGAAAATGGACTAAGTGATTCTGATGATGATAAACAAAATATTACCTAACAACATGTTAAATGGTCATATTATTTGCATTTATGTTTTTAACTTAAACAGCAGATCTGTACTTCTGTGTCATACACACAACACTATATGTCAATCAAAGTAAATCTTTTCAACATCCCCATCTGTTCAAACAAAAACATCTTTTTTCTTAATGTTGAGATAAAACTTCACTTATCAACATTCTTAGGAATCAAAACACAGTGAATGAACAATATGCTAAAAATGAAAATAGAGCCTGAGATTATAGGGTTATTTGAAGGTATTTTGAAAACTTGATGCCGTGGTGTGTCCTTTAGTTAGGAATACCTTGTAAAGATCATGTTTATATTAAATTCTCTTTTGGTCATGACAGGCGGAATTCCCGTCCACAGTGGGTGTGTGTGAGGAGCTGGATGCAGCCATGGACACTGATGAGAACTCTCAGATATCAAAGCAATCTCAGAAGAAATACTACATTGACACTAACTCTATATGTGTGCCCAGGAAAGGGATGGAAATGATGTCTTTTTTAAAAGAGGGAATGAGTAAGTTGAAATGGTTATTGGTACAGAGTATGCAATTATCCCACGAGTCTAAATAGTTACTGACATAATAGATGTTCTATTGTAAATTGATAACATGTGCTGTGATCTTTGAATTAAAATTCATCAGATGACTTAATCATATATATGGATTTATCATTTTTAAAATAAAGAGTACATTTTCTTCAATCACATTTCTTGAGCTTCATTTTCAAGTTCTTCATTTTCAAACCTCCATATGTGCATGGCTACAATCAACAGTGTAGTTTTTTTTTCTTTGCAAAAGGGAAGTATAGAGGGTCATAACTGTGTCTGAAAAACATTATATCAACCACAATAACCTAAAAGAAGGTGGTCATACCCTGTAGAATGTTACAATAGGACAAAAGTTCCAGTAAGAATTGAAGAAAATCCAAAGCTGTTATTTTGAAACCCCAAACTAAATAGCTAGAATTTTTTTTTCTATTTGTTAGCAGTGTTAAATTTCATACAGTTATATGTTCATTTTTTCAGTTGAAGACTGGGATATATTTGAGAAAGTCATGGATCACACATACAACAAACATATGATGTCAGAACCCCAGTATCATCCAGTCATGATGTCAGAACCTTCTGTAAGTACTGCCCTCTGGTGAGCAGTTGCTGATGATTAAGTTATAGAGTTCTTACAGGCCATGTTCCACATTCATGTGCTTCATGCAATGTATAGATTAAAACTTAAAATTTCAATAAATACTAAGATTAAATTGAATTGAATTGAATACATTTAAGTTGTTTGAGTTTGTCTATGGGAATTTTCTGTTGTAATACTATTTTATTAGCATTGCTTTATAATGGCTACTTATCTTTCAGTGGAACACAAGAGGGAAAAGAGAAAAATTAACAGAAATCATGTTTGAAAAATATAATATTCCTGCCTTTTTCCTATGCAAGAATGCAGTTCTAGCAGCGTATCCTTGTTCTGATGATTTTTATAACAATGAGAGGTATTTTAATTAAATACAAATACTAAGTTTAAGTTGAACGGATGAATATGTTCTTAACTTCATCGAACTTCTATAAAAGTTTATGTATAATTTTGAGTTGTGTATCTCCTTGACTGTCCTTCAGTTTTGCTAATGGACGTTCTACAGGTCTTGTACTGGACAGTGGTGCTACCCACACAACTGCTGTGCCTGTTTATGATGGTTATGTTTTAGGCCAGGGTAAGTTATTGTTAAGTTCTACACATGAAAGTGTTGACAGGATCCAGTTGATTTGGAGATTTTGGGCAGCATTCCCTCTCGCTCTCGATCTCAGTCTTCATCTTTATGTGATGTTGATCTTAATCTCGGAACTTTATTATTTGCAATGGACGAGATAGAAACCAATTCAAGATATTTTGTGACACTTTTGGACAGTGTGTTGAATGACAGTATGAGTTGAAATTAACACTGGATATTTAGGAGAAGTATTGTTTTATGAAGTGTTCATGCAGAATTTCAATCCTTGTGCCTCTTGACTACTAAACATTTTATACATATTGTTATTGGTTTTCCAAAATTTCTATGTCTAATGTTATATTATAATGGGTATGGTATTCCTTGTGTATATTCACGTATTAGAATTTTATGGCCTGCAGAGTTTTTCTGCAGTGTTTATTGCATTAATTCATGAATACATTTTATTTTCAGCTATTGTAAAATCTCCATTAGCTGGAGACTTCATCACACTTGAGCTGAGGAAGTTGATGGAAGACCTATCCATAGATGTAGTTCCTCCATACATGATTGGCAGCAAGGTAGATAAATACAAAACGGAACAACATTTTCTTATAAAACTAATTTTAAATGAGTGGTGTTTTTTTGTTTGAATTTGAAAGATTTTAGGTACAGGATTGCCATGCCCACATTATCAAATGTGAATTCAGAACCAGTCTTTGTTAAAAGGAGTCATACTCTACTACTAACCAGTATGACCACATGAACAGAGCACATATAAACCCAGAATATTATTTCCTTGCTTATTCTGTGGGTGTCTGGTGACTGCAGGTGGACTGTTTATGTAAGATCAGGTGTGAACACACCTTCAATATCTGAGATGAGATTGATGGCTTTGTTTTGACATCACCTTCCTGTATTTGATAGGAGGCAGTGTCAGAAGGTGTAGCACCAAAATGGCAGAAGAAGAAAGATTTACCAGAAGTTACCAAGTCATTCCACAGTTACATGGTCAAAGTAAGTGAACATCATTGTGAGGAGATTACAATACATGGGGGCATGAAATGAACATTTTAAGTCATAGGTCACTTTAAGCTTAAACATGATGATCTGTTATAAATTTAATGTTAAGTTGGCTAAAATGTGTCATGCAATCCATTTACATGTCATCGTTCTTTTTTTTCCTAGGATGTGTTACAGGATGTAGCAGCATCCATCCTCCAGGTGTCAGATGGTCCCTATGATACAGCGTAAGTTGTTAGAATTGCAATGATTGATCGTTACTTGAATGTGATTTGTAGCGCTTGTAGAATACAGCATATTAAAAATATAACTTGAAATGCCAAGTTAAGATGGTTTGTTAAATGTATGTCCTCGAAGAAATGAAAAACAAGAACGAGCAGCTTAGTCGTATTAAAAAGCTGTAGTGTTCATATCTGTCTTTACAAAAAGGTTTAGTAGATAATCATATATCTGAGCAAAAGATTGGTCTGCATCGATTGTTCTAATGAGCATAGGGCATATAAAGAGTATATGTTCATTTGCATTATAATGTTATATCCACACGAAAATTGATTACCCTAAAACATGCATTGGCACCCTGCATGGGGAAATCTAAATTGAACTCTTGTAAGTTGTACATCTTTCTACTTTCAGTGCAGCTGAGTCATTACCAATGGTGCATTATGAGTTCCCAAGTGGATACAATATAGACTTCAGTGAGGAGAGGATAAAAGTTTGTGAGGGTCTTTTTGATCCTTCATATATCAAGGCAAGTCTATTAAATGAGAATAGGAAAAAAAACAATGTGAAACAAGATTCCACTGTTGATTATATGTATTCTGGATCAAAATCTGCATACTTTCTGTCACAGAACATAGCTATGAGGCTTTTTAACATTCATATAAAAATAAAGATGACATTTTGATTCTCTTTAGAATATCACCCAGTTATTCTTATCCTTTGTCTCTTCAGGAGGCCCAAGGCAACAGTATGCTGGGTATGGGCCATACAGCCACCACCAGTGTGGGCATGTGTGACATTGACATCAGACCGGTAAGATTATAAGACTGCAGTAATCCCTTACTGAATTTAAATGACAGTAATGACATGTTATATTTCCCAAAACAGTGTTTTGTTATTTATGCTTAAAATGGACATGTTTTTGATCCATTTTAAGCATAAATAATTGAATTGTTCTCAAGAACAGCTATTACCTGTAGGCAATTTCAGAATCAGAATTCTCTTGAACAGTCTTCACAGATTCTCTGCATATCAGTACCACTGAATGATTTAATGGTGTGTAAGAAGCTAAAAGAAATTTTCTGTTTCAGAGTTTATATAACAGTGTCATATGTGTAGGTGGAAACACATTGATCCAAGGATTTGTTGACAGACTGACCAGAGATCTCAGCTCAAAGACACCCCCTGTGAGTAAATGCCACATAGCAATAACACAACAGTGTGACAGAAACAGTCTGGCTGGTGCATCAGTCATTCACAACTAACACAATCATAGTAATGCAGCACATGCTGAGATTCAGATCCATTCTGTGCCAGCTTCCTAAGTTTTCGACTTCTGTATGTGCTGTTATCACACTTAAACAAAGATGTGCCTACAGTCATCCAGATTTCATGGTTCTGTATATTGGCATGGTGAATACATCCCACCACCTCTAATGTGTGATTAGCAGGTTAAAAGTTTGCTTGTGGCTTGTGGGTATGTTTGGAAATTTGAAAACTAAAAAGCTGGCCTGCATCTGCTCTGAATCGGAGAATTGTGTAGTAGCACATCTATCAGAACTGAGGCAGATCTACAGTACTGCTGGATTGTGAATAGTGCAAGTGTTTGATGTGAGATTATTTGCTTTAGTTTCTTTTAAGAATATTTTAAAATATTGTATGATTTGTAATTATATTTCAGAGTATGAGGCTAAAAGTGATCACTCCCCCAGGGATGGCAGAAAGAAGATTCAGCAGTTGGATTGGTGGCTCTATCTTGGCTTCACTGGTAAGAAAGCAGAAATATCAATGTATCTTATCCTTGCCTCATAGTCAGACTTAGTTTGATCTGCATGCACTTTTGTTCCTAAACCTCTTATGAAATGATTCCCCACATTGATTGGTAATTTCTTCACTAAACTTCATATCTTCCTAATTTTGTTTTGATTTTGGTTATTTTAAGTTGAATCTCCTTTTAACACTCCCATGTTTACTTGTATTTTGTAGGGTTCATTTCAACAAATGTGGATTTCAAAACAAGAATATGAAGAGGGAGGCAAGAGCTGTGTAGAAAGAAAATGCCCTTGAATATGTGCATGATTGTTGAAAGTGACAGTTTCCTCTGGACCATAGTTTTTTATTTTTTAGATTCAATGAAAACAATTTTCCTACAGTAAAAAGGAATATGATGAAAATCATGGGTTTTAAAATGTGTACATTATCTTTGTATAATATATAAAGTTGGCTGTCTAACATACAAATGAATTGTGGAGAGCTAAATGTATTTTTTCCAAGTGTATATAGGACTCTTAAGGTAACTTCCATCATCACTTAAGGTTGTTACTAATTATAAATTTGAGTCAGAGTATGAGAAATGTCCATTGTTTTCTCAATTTAGAGACATCATACCTTCCTGTATGTATCTTTTATGACATACTTCATGTAAATACATATAAAACATACTTGTGGTTTGTTTTTATTGTTTGCAACAAAACCAAATGCTTGTTCATTTCTCTCTCCTTGCACATAACATCTACTGTTTATACAAATTGGTTTTAAAATTTAACAAATGCTCTTTAAAATAGTAAGTCTATGGTTGCATATATGAGGTGATGTTACTTAGATGTCTGAACCAAATACTAGAAACACACTTCAACCTCTTTATTGTAACATCAACTTTTATTCACTACTCTCATGTATCAAAACCCATTTTTTATATAAAATATTTAAAACCACTAGCCAGAAAAAAATTTAATGTATTCTCAGTCATTCTTCAGCTACAAAATGATTTCACCAGATTTTTCAGCTGTACACTTTTCTCCCTCTTCTATGCTCATGTGGACATCGATGTGTGAATTTTAAATAAAATGAAAAAATCTTCTAACTCAGTATTTTTACAACAAAATAAACCAATAACTAAGAAATTATATCCCTTTATATTCAAACTTGGCATAAATAAAAAATACCACGAGTAGAATTAACAATGAACATCAGGCCTTTTCATTATAACACTTAATACCCTTTTTTATTGGCCAAATGTTACTCGCCCAGCTTGAAATCTACACATTTTTTCAGTTAATAAAACTGACACATCTTTGGTTTGTTGCTTTTCTTAAATCAAACAATTATTATGTATAGACACCACCATATGTTAACTTTGTTTCAAATAAGAACAAGTCTGGTGGCCCCCCTCTTGCTGACAAGAGCAGCTTTCAGAAATTTAACTACAGTAATTAACAAAATGAATAAATGAATTTCCATAAAATACCTTTGAAAGGTTAGTTGGCTTAGTGTCTTAAAGTACATTATCATGAGCTACAGGAACTGAGAAAATTTTTAAAATGAGGTTTTAGATCGTTTAAAATTTTTAATTACTGTCCCACTATTCGCTGGCCTGAGAAGATTCATCGACATGGGTTATTTCTCACACTGCATGAGCTGTTTTAGATGTGCAAAGTTATATTATGCTGAAATGTATAATAAATAAAAAGAAAAGCTTTGTATACCCCTGACTTTGCTAAACTTGAGCCAAGTGACAAAACTACAAAAATTTCTCAAAGTAAAAAAAAATGTTCTATCAAGCAAAATGTGGAGAAAAAGCAATCACTTAAGCAGACTACACAGTTACTTGTACATTTAAATGCAAATCCAACATTGTGCCAAAATATACCCTTTCAAGAAGCTGGAATATTCCAAGTCCCTACTTAAAAGTATGCCCCGACAAAGTTTACGGCATAATTTGGCAATTACCCAATCAATTCAAACAAAAAATTTTCATGAAACAATGCTCAGTGCGTAACTGTTACAATCGTTCAATTAAAAAAGTTCTGAAAAGGTAAAGGACTTTGTCTAAGAAAGTATATCAATGTGAGTGACTGTAAATGATAAATCTTCAAAAAGTAAAGTATCAGAGTAAGTAAGAAGTTCAAAAATTTCAAGTAATTACCATATACCTGTAAACAAAGCTAGTTTTTAATTGATGCAAACATATACATTTTCAATTAAACTGCTGGCAAACAATTGTATCCTTTTTCTGAATTAACCCTTATTTATAAATATACTAAAAAAATATATCATTTAATGGAGTGCTTTAACATGTGAAAAGATCTTGTGGATTAATCCAGTTATACTACCAACTTAGTGGTAAGTTATTCTTCACTAGTTTAAATTTACAAATGTCAAAATATTTGTTTAACAAGCAGAGAGCATACTTTTAAGTTACTTTAGCATGAAAAATGCTCAAAATGGAAATGGGACTCAAATTTATCTCCTGGGAGATAACCCTAATGTCTGGCTACATTACCAGTGCTTATGCTTTAAATCACAAATCTTACGTCACATCCTTTGTTTCATAAATAAAATGGACAGTTATATAGCAGTTTCTATGCACATTATCTTCACGGAAGACTTACTGGTAATCATTCCTTGTAATGAAGCTATAAATATGTAGCAATCATCCTGCATGAGACCCTGATTACTTTTCCAGCATAATTACCAAATGTGATATAAAAATACCACATATTTCAGGTGACTAATAATCACAGCCAGTGCCAAAACAGACATTTATGATTCAAAGACTGCTTTATGGATTATGAACATAACACATGAGTAATAGCCTTTTTTTCAGCAACCAAGTTTGAAGTTTTCACAGCAACACCAACTTCAATATTCTGTGCATTATTTACAGTTGGGTGAGGATTCTGGTATTATTCACCAACAAAGATTGCATGATCAACAAGTGCATGATCAGAAATGGAATTGATTTTGAAAAATCATTGTTAATCATAACTTAATCTTCCTTTTTGTACCATCCAGATAGCGTTCACTGTCTACTGGCAACAAAAACTCGCACACTACAGTTCTACTCTGGAGTAAATTAAACATTTAAAGCAGCCTTTTTTCTATTTAAAACAGGAAAAAAATGCATCAAGAGTAGTCTATACTGATTGTTGTCACTTGATTGTTAAAGGTGATGACACAAAAAGCTGCTTTTGACACATTCAGCTGATTTTACGATGACTCAAAATTTATGTTTCCACCATACAAAGCAAGTAAAAGCATGACTCCAAATCCAGTTAGAAGGCCCAAATTTTGGATAATAAATATCTTGGTTTTCCCCTGACCTACATTTTGTTCATCTTCTGTTGCATGGTTAACTTCTGGCATCTGAAGCAAATACAAATGCATCAAAATAGATTTCTCAAATGTTGCAATTTTTTAATTTAAACTTGCACAGAAAATAAGATATAGAATAGAACTGTTTACTTTTTTACTGGACTTACCATGTCAGCAAGAGAGATGTAAAGAAACATTCCCCCCGCTAGTGCAAACACCCACTCATTAGCAGCGGTTGCCTCGGAAACCAGAATACCAAGGATCAGACCGAGGTAACAGGCACATGCAGAGAGGAAGTTGTAGCCAACAGCCTGCCAACGACTCATCCCAGCATTTAACAGAATTGCAAAATCACCTAAAAATCACCAAAATAAAATTTTCTTTTTTTTCTTTTGCTCATCAAAATTCACTGATATCACTTGTACCCTAGAATATTTCAAGAAAATGTATAAAATTAATTAATAAAATATTAACTTTTATTATATATATGCAATATAATTCAAAGCACATGCTTCCAACAGATTTTTTAAAATCTTTTGTGAGAATCTGTAAATCGCTAAATTATCTCTTTCATTCTTGGAAGTTTTCTAAGACTGTCAGTCTGCCCTGTTATACATCAAATAGATGTGTATTTAAGTATCTGTTAACTACAAGCACCCTTACCCAATTCATGAGGCAACTCTTCACATATCACAGCAACAGAGACAGATATTCCAAGATAAATACTCTCTGTGAAAGCAGCCCCTATGGAAAGACCATCTATAAAATTGTGGACAGCATCACCAAAGATGATCATCCAAGCAACAGGGGCTATTTTTGGTTTCTTCACTCCACTTTTGCTGCTCTGCCTCTTTATGGCATTTGAAATTGGATAGTGACTATGACCATGGTTACCCTGGTTTCCCTGGTTATTGGTGTCAGACTGGTCCGCCATAGCACCATTCATCAGATCCTGTAAGTAGCATGAAGTGCACTTATTTATTACAGATTTCACAAATATGTATGTCACAGGCCAGATCCCAATCTAATCTTATCCCAAGAGTGAGTGGTCATTTTAATTACAAAAATTGGATTTTATCAGTGAAAAAATATTAATTTAGTATCCTAGTATGTGCCTTGACCTATGACATCCCCTATTTAATCACACATGCCATACAAACAAACTGGCAGCTCACCTGTAAATTACTTGGTCAATTAACATGCTCATTATGCTGTTAACAATGCAAAGACACAATTGGGATGTGGTCTGGGTCATGTCCTAATTGGGATGTGTTCTGGGGCACTTAGGAAGTGGACCAGTTTGGGATCTGGTCCGTGACATATACGATACACAAGATGGTGACAGGGAAGTTCAAAACAACTTAATTTTGACAGTACTTTTTATTATGGTAAATATATCATGCCTTAGATACCTGTGTTAAAATATCAATATTTCTGTTAACATCTAGTCTACATGATTAGACATATAGTAATTACTAGATCTTTTCAATGGGGGGAAAATAATGAATTTTACAGATACTGTTTTTTTAAGTTATAATTTTTAGTACTTTCCTATTGAGTGGCAGCAACAAAATTAAAAGGCAGGCTACTCTGTAGTTATTTTCTATGCAGCAAAACTATAAACCACAAATACTATACAGAAGTACAATTTTTTGTGATAATAAAATTATGTACCTGAAAGTTTGATAATTTTTGCCCATTGAAAGATCAAGTCATTACCGTAATGACTATTATATCTCTTCCCCTTTAATTTGCTTTTGTTATTTCCTGTTTTATATTTGTGGTAAAACAATGAAAAGAACTTTAAGATTCAGTGAGACTGTCAATTAAAAGATAAAACAGGTTCAAATAGCAGAAGTCACAATTTTACGTTAATTTTCTGTTTCCACCATTTGAACCATTATTATTCTTATTAAACAATGAAAGCAGAAACTTCACATTTTCATTACCACAGAGAACACACTTCTTAATGTCACAGAGATTAGTGCAATCGTGCCAATTCTTGAAATGCTGCTACAACTGCATATGCAATAAGCACACATGCACTATTAAGAAATTACTGCAAATTAATCTAATAATAATAATAATAATAGTTCAATTTATATATCAATTATACACTACAACATGAATATACCTTACACACAGAACATGCAAAAATGGTGATTTCATAGCAAAATAGCTGACTGGCTAGTTTCTTGGACAACACGTAAACACAATATCAGATATTGGCTTAGTTGAAAAAAATAATAAAAACTTATAGAGTGGGACAATGGTCAGAGAAAAAAGACAGATTTCATGTAGACTAAAGAACATTAATCCTGAAATTGTGTCAAATAAGAGTTCTCAACAAACTGAAGAAAAAGTGAAAGAGAAATATGACAAGATATGGAATCACATGTGCCACCACCTTTAACTTGAAAGATACTTCTACAAGTTTTCTATATTATAATATATAAATTCAAATTAAAAAAAAAACAGTGAAATACCATAACTGTGTGGCTAGATCAACATAAAGATTTAGTCTTGCATAAAACATACATCATACTAAAGCATGTGGTGTCAGTAAAACTGCAATGAGATAAGCTGCGAACAGGCACAGAAGACATCAAACAGGTTTAATATATGCATCATGCCGGCTTCAATCTTTTTTGTGGAGTTAAGAGTGCCAAACCTTGGTTCTTACATACCTGGACGCGTAACTCCACCCCATCACATTTCACTGTCTCTCTTTTCTGCGCAGAAGGTGAGGCCTTAGACACTGCATCAAACTAATGGGAAGAAATTCTGCCTTAACCAGCCTAACTTTCAAAAATTCATATACCTGATTTAAAAACTATGGCTTTAATAACATTTTTTATAAATGGGCCATTTCATAAGAAGATTTTTTACTTTGATAGAAAGTGAAAAAAACAGTGTGTCATTTTATCGTGTTTTATGTGAGCCTTAGATTATTAGTATTTTTTGTGTGTCTGTGCATATGATTACTAGAGTGGCATAAGAGAAACTGAAAAAAAGAGAAAGAAAAATAATAGCAATTTGCTAGCAGGCTGAATTATTTTAACAATTCAAAAATTTTTATAACTCAAAAGGTCAGTTTTATAGCTTTAAAAACATTGAAACTTTAGAGCTTTTTACATTTTTAAAGATGGGCTCCAATTTTATGACCACCAGCCTGGCTAGTCTTTAGACAGAGAAAGTTTATACAGAGAAGAGAGATGATGCAAGCTGGTGTGTCCAGTTTTCATTCAAAGCTAATTTAAGATGAAGCAGTAGAAGCTATTCAAAGCAGTATATAGGCCAAGGTAAATATGTGTAACCCTCCTGATGACAAAAAGGGATCTCTATGCAAATCAAAAGCAGTTTCCATTTGACTTATAAAATCATAAATTCCCAATAGAAAGATTACCAAGTACAAAACAGCTGAACTCACTGTTTTATATCCGACTTAGTGGATTTTTGTTGTTTTATAATAGAAAGTTAATCTGCCAAAGCACCCATGATCCATCTATATTATGGTTGCAAAAAGCACCACAAGTGACATACATAAGTGTTACTTAACAAAGAAGATTTACAAAATTCCAAAAGCTGCAAGTTAGTCATCTAAGTTAGTTTGTTTCCTTTTTTCTTTTATTCTACTGACACAAAATAGTTATAGAAAAGGGTTTAAGTGCAGTTATCATAAAAAATTATTAGTATAAAGATGTTGGCAAAGAGATAAGCATAAGTAAAAGAGAAACTAGATAGCAAGGAAGGCAATAAGCAGATATCTAACATAAAATTTAAGGAAACAGATAAATTTAAGGTGAATGTCATTAGAAAAAATGGTGGTTATCTCCGGGAAAGCAGGAAATATCATTATATTATCTTTATAATTGGTTAAATACCAGCCGTTTGGTTGCCAACTAGCAAGTTTAACATAATCTAATCCTGTATAATGATGGAAATACATGGATTAATTTACCTATGAACTCCATTACATGCCATATATGAGAATTCCATCTGCCTGTTATCATGGATAAGTAGATATGACTTCACTGAAGGTCAGAGCCAATAGACAAGCTTGTCCCCAAGAATTCATAACTTTGAGAAATTCAGATGATCTAGCTAAAACAACTTGGTAAACCACTTATAAGGCTTCCCAAAATTAAAAACACCATGCAAGCCCCATATCTCTGTGTAGGCCTGGGGAGTGCCAAAACTAAAAGATATGTTTACTATTGCTTACGTATATATGTATACATATATATTTACAACTTACATTGCATGCATCATTCTCTTCCCCTTCCTCTCTCCCATTGTCATCTAATAAATCAGCACTGCTCTCATTGCCCTGCATGATTCCATACTTGGCTGCCCCCTCCTTCATTTCAGGTGGAACTTTCAGCTCTGGATCCACTTCAACATGGGTGTGAGTTTGGACTGATGCCAGAGTGGCTATTTCTTCATAGGTTCTACGCCTTTCTTTCTTTTTCTAGAAAAATACCAGTTGAAAAAAACTGAAATCAGCTTGAGTATAAAGTGTAAAACATAATCAGAAAACAGATTTGCAAGGTATTCTACAAAAAAGGATACCAAAACAAGTTTTAAATTTCACTTTTTTTTTTCAAAACTTGATTACATATCATAATGTGGGGGGAGAAAAAAAATGTTGCAGCCATTCTACAAAAGACCATCAATTTCATTATATGATACAGTGCACTGGTAAAAGCCATATGTTATTTCAAATATGACTAAGACAATTACCAGTTTAATATCCAGGTCTAATAAAAAAGATCATCAATTTTATTCCCTCATATCACACTGTATTTCCCTCAATGAGGTAATGTCGTACAATTTCAGGCCTTGGACAAAGTCGTCAGAATGTTTTACAAAACTCAGGAAAGTGATATTAAACCAAGGCACAGCCAAGGTTGATAACAACGCACCGACTTAAAAGCAAAAATGTGCTTTTGTTTTATTATATAAAATGTAATTACTGAATGTCAATATTCTCCAAGAATAAATCAAAAGCTGCAACAGCACTGTCATCTGACACTGCTGTCGTCTGATTGATAATATATGCAGCCATGAATTTTCCTATTCTTTCATTCATTTTTTTTTTAATTTGATAAAAAAAATAATAAATCACATTATTGGTCAATATTCTGTTTGATCAGATCTCAAATTCACATATATAAGACCGTAATATATGCTAATAATAAAGTGAGATCTATTACTGCCTTACCTCTTTTCTGTACATGATTGCCTTCATGGTATACTCTAAAATAAAGAATAAATATATTCCCCCTAGTACCGTCAGTCCTTTCCATATATATGCACCTTCTTCATCATATTCTGCTAATCCAAAAGACTGGAAAAACAACAAAGTTAAGATTTAAACATTAAAAATATCATTCAACAATTATGTTGAAAAAATGTAGAAAAGAAAGAAGAAACCATCACAACTAAGAAGACAGTATTCATACAGTATTCAAAAAAAGTCTAAAGAGAAAATGAAAATTCCATGTTAACATAGCAAAGGTAAAGGATAGAACTTAATTTGACAGATGTTGGCAACTTTGTCATTTGTGGAATTAATCTTGCAAATTCAGTAGAACCCATTCCATTCAAATAGTATTTTAGTAATCAGTTTTGCGAAAAGTTCTATGTAAACACTTTTCCTTATGGCAAGATTTTTGATGTTCCTAGTTATTTTATCAGTCTTAATATTTTCTACCAAATCATACTGAAATGGCAAGAATTAAAAACATATTCAACTGAAGTTGTAGAGCTAGATTATTTTATTACAATTACTCACATCAGGTATCAAGAAAAACAAAGCACTTCCAGCCAGTGTTCCTACAGCAAGGGCCACCATGAATATCAGTAACTTTTTGTAGAAAAATTTGTTCATGAAAGGGACCAGGAGCACACCAAGGAGAGCACATATATTGGTTATAGTCACAAACAGAATACCATATCCCCAAACTGAAACAAAATAATATACAACAAATTATATCAGTTGAAAAATAAAAGACAGTGGCACTTTACTCTTGGTCACTATTCACTTTAAATTAATATCATAAACCATTTTAACAATGTTTCAAGTATTGCTCCACTGGCTTTTAGATAAAACAGAATTAATTAATTGGTTCTTACCTTCTCCTTTTGTAGGCTTTTTAGATTTGCTGCTTTTTGCCAAACGGGGTATAAAACATTTTTTATTCTGAGCTTGATACAGTAGAGTCGGGCTTATCTTTTTCAGGGTAACAGAGTTGATAGTGCTTCTATTGGGTAGGGAATGGAAAGAAACTATTTCTTCAGCTGTGAGGCACTGAAAAAGAAATAACTGATACGTAAGTTGATAACATCTTAACCCAATTTCATTGTGTGAGGTCATTTCCACAAGACACACTTTTTAACATTAAAAATTTTAAAAATTGGTATTCATTTATTTTTACAATTGATTTACTTATTCTGTTCCTTTTTTTTTTAATTTCACATGCAATCAAGGTACATTACTACCTCTATCAGGCAATCTTTTTTGTCCCTGTATGTAATATATATGTATATATATATAAATAATATAATACTCAAATCTCCTTTAACTAATTACTTTCTTAGATATGGAAAGCTGCTTTTTATTGTGTCACAGTATTTTCTATGTATGTTTGTGCTACACTCCTTTTCAGGGTGTGCTGATCAATGACATATATGCCAAAGTAAACAGCGCTACTGTGTGCACACACTCTGTTGTGTGCATTACCCCCCCCCCCCCCACCCACCCACTGTGCAATTCAAAAAATTAACCTGTTTTGATGTGCAACTTTCCCACTTTCTAAGTCTCAACTTCCTTGATTTTTTTCTACGAGCCCCCATACACATATATATATATACTTAATGTTGTTAAACTGTAACAGCTGCATAATAATTCACCATATACTACTTAAACCATTCACGCTGTTAATGTGCAACACACCTGCTGCAGAAGCAGGCAATGGAATTACATGTGTATCTGACAATTAATGCCAACACTTAAATTGAATTTTTTTTCATGTCTTTCTTACAATCCAAACAATATTTTACTTTCTTCTACTTTTTATCTATAGTTATAAATTTTCAAATATGTTATATTTTATTTTATTTATTTATTTATTTATTTATTTATATATATATACAGTATCATGACTACAGGATCAATCAAAATCTTTAAATATCACTTATATTCATTGTGTAAGTATTTCTTCTGATTCATATTGAGGGAATCACAAATGATATCATTCCCCATACCTATCAATGAATAATTCAAATCATGACTTTGTCTCCTCTGATGAACCCGAACAAAAAAGCCAGAAAAGAAATCAACCACCAACATTTGTGTAACTATTCATATATAACTTTAAAATGAAAGCCCCCTTCAAAACTTATTTGAGTAAAACATAGTTATAAGATAAAGTCAGCTCTACCAGGCACTGGTAGAACCAGTTTACCTTTTCTTTGAGACAAGCCTCCGACGCTGAAGGTATCGAATCTGTATCTGGGTTCACGTAACAAGCATGGTCCCCGTTATCAGAAGTGGCCCCGTGACTATCGGCAAGATTTTGGTCTCCGCCATCCTTCAACGCTTCCAACAACGAACTTAACTGGTCCACGCTCAACGTGTCGTTCGACCCATACTTACTCATCAAATTTCTCACAAAGAAATCATCCTTTGATATTCCCTGACAGAATAATGTTGCCGTTGCAACGAGGTAAACAAAGACGGAAATATGAGTTAAAATCACCATATCCAACGGCTCTGTAACTTTCTCCTAGCTCACGTTATCCAAAGTTAACTCCACAGTGAGATGGGTGAAATGTGACCGTGGTTGATCTTCGTTCCACGATAAAGCGATCATAATGTCATGAGCATGGTCTTTCCCACATCAGCAAGGTCATTTTCAGGTCAAGGTAAAGGTCGTAAGGCTTATGCGCGTTTAAAATGAAAAAAAGTGCTGTAGAAAAAAATAACCTACAGAAACTAGTATCAGCTAATTGTGATGGCAGTTTTCACATCTTTAGGACGTAGCTGATAAAATATACAGTGTCCTGTGTTCCACTGTGGGGAATTTCATTTGTCTTGCGCAAATATCTCGTTCTCCAGGCTGCGAAGATTCAAAAGTGATGAGGATTAATTTCCCGGCACGAGCAAGAAGCATCAAATGTCTGTCTCAGATACCAGGCGTCGCACGCAAGTTTTTAACCAAACATGACCGAATTGCTCACCTTGTGCGACGCTGTGCTACTAAACATTTTGCAATACCTTGAATTAAGCGACATTTTGCGTTTGTCTTTGACTTGCAAACGATTGAATACGGTGTGTTATGATGAATCCTTATGGAGGTGAGCATTAGATCTAATTGAATAATTAAACCCCCAAAAATTACGAAAGGTGTTTTGTTCCACAATAAATGTTCAGAGTTTTTTTTCTAAAACCTGGGCTTATCTCTGAATTACACCAGGTACTATAATATCATCCACCTCTTGTCGTTGAAGACTGCCATAAACTGACTTCTAAATGCAAGATATATGTGACTTCATTCCCATAGGGACCATTCCCACAGATATTTGAATCGATCTATCTTCCTGGGGAGTCTCACAAAAGTGCTATTTACTTAACCAGCTTAAATGTCTGTCATGCCTAGTAATGCTTTTAGGGGGTAATTATCTTTACCGTCTAGCTGATCGGTAGGCGTGACAGACAATTAAGCCGGCTCAATTGATAGCAATTTAGTAAGACTCCCTAGGGAATTAGACCGATCCAGATGGATCAATCTAGGTATGGGAACCCAGTCATAGACCCATCATACTAGCTGGATCTATATACTATTAACTCTGAAAGGCTTCTCTCTAAAGTGCTCTCAGTGTTATCAGCTTCATTGTCTGGCATGCCCCCTCAAGTAATTGGGGGTAATTGACTGTCATTAATTACCCCCTAGAAGGTTGAGCAGGCATGCCAGATATTTAAACTGCTTACACTGAATGCACTTTACTGCTCGAATCCCATCAGAAGAATTCAGATCCAGCTAGTGCGATGGGCTAATGGGAATGATCCCTATGTCTACATCTTAATTGCGTTCGCATGTAGTGCAAAAACATTAATAGGGATGCAAATTTATACATTAGTATTCATGATAAGTTATATAGCCAGTTATAATGAAAGACATTATCAGTTTTTTTATTTGCAGTTTAATTTTTATTTTAGTGAAGTATATTTCAACATAAAGAGTCTATGACAATCTTGCAGTATTTATTTTTCTACCAAAAATAAAGCTTCACTTTCTCTTTTTATTGACTCCTAGGGATGTAAGCTTTGAAAAATGCAACAACCTCTCTTTGCAGCAGTTCAAATGTTGCATAGGTAGAAGTTGGAAACACATCAGCAGCTTAAATATGAACTACATGCACTGGATACCAGGAAGGTATAATAATAATAATAACAATATTTATTTATGGTCTAAAATCCATATAAAATGTTCATTAGACTTTACTGGAGTAAAATGAACAGAATAATATGAATAAAGTCAGTAAACAAATAAACAGTTAAGATATCAAAATATTAAAATATTGCAACATTAAAATAGATAGCACAACATAAAGATGAAAAGCCAGTCAGGTCACTTATAAAACTTTTTGAAAATAAAAGTTGTTAATTCTTTTTTTATAATTGTCCGCAGGCTCTTTAGTTTTTAAATATATTGGGAGAATTTTCCATTCATTTGGCCCATAGACTTGAAAAGCTATGTCGCCATATGTTCTCAACCTGGCATTACAAATCTGGCAAAAACATGATCAAAAACTGGTCAAGTGATCTTAAATTACTTTTTGGAGCATAATGAGAAACTAGTTTTAGTAGGTACAGGGGTGCTGATTGATAAAAAATTGCATGCATAAAGGTTAAATTTTTGAATAAAACGTGTGCTCTACCAGGAAGGGGCCTGTTTCAGACTGGCATTTTTTTTTTTCAATTGTTCCTTGTATTAACCAGCCTTTAGTTATATTCTGTTTCATTGAAATCCATGTCAAATAGCAAATAGTCACATGTTTGATGAGAATTAAGTGCCAAGGCGGTGCAGGAAATGTTAGAAAAACATATTTACTTCTCAGCTACAGTGAATAAGCACAAAAACTGCAAACTAATACCCCATTCACACTACACTCAGTTATCCGGATAAGTTGCGAATTAGGTCACAATTCGAATAAATGCAGTAGTGTGAACGCAAGAGGATTTCTGTAATGCGAATTTTCAAAATCCTGCAAGCGAGGTGGATTTCTAAGCGCGATCCGAATAACTTACCGGAATCGACACCTGTACAGATCTTACTGCGCATGTGTATCTATGAACGCTTGTTTATTACTTTAGCGATTGCACCAAACGTATTTGGAGGTCACCACTCACTACAACATGAGGAAACAAGCTTATTTTGCCATCTTATGCTTCCCAAGAATGCTGGAATGTCTTTTTGAGATACATTTGCCGTCACACTTTTTTGTTGGTATTTTGAGTTTTCCTGTGCGGCGCATGCGCGAATGTTCAAAACAGGAAGTTAAACCTGAAATTTTCAACGTGGGATTCGGTATCGCTTCGCGTGTGTGAATGCAATACCGAATCGGATTTCTCGCGAAAAATCCGAATTATAGAAATGCGCATTTTTGCAACTGTAGTGTGAATGGGGTATTACAAAGTGCCATCTAGCCACAGACATACTAATCAATGAGTTGCATTTTAAAATAATAATAATTGTAATAATAAAAATAATAATTGTTTATTGATCACAGAAATGTTTACAGATACATTTTACAGGCTCTCTACACAACTTTTTCAACATATGTCTATATATCATATAAAGAAAATAAGGCATTACAATTTTGAACTAGTACCTACATGTACCTACACATTTGGCATAATCAAACATAAAACTTGAATGATGCTTAATTAATATTGCTAGCTCTTATATAATGCAGAAGGATCTTTATACATGCATCCAGATCATATCAAAATTGTAGTGTGTTTCATACAAACTTTGTGGATAATTCATGATCCAATTATTATGAACAAATTTCAATATAAACATGAATAATTCTTTTCTTTCTAACTTTCTCTCTCTCATATGCATTCTCTTTCTGCCTCTCTTTAAGTGGAATTTTACATGTAGTATGACTAATCTGTGCAATGAGTCTTTGCACTCCAAATAAAGAAGTATGTCACGATCAAAATGTGTAAAACATCCAGAATGTCAGTCACATATTCATTACTGGATATGCAGAAAACAATATTTCTTATCCTGATGTGTAACGTGTATTCCAAATTAACTTCATACTAAATTAAAATTGATAATGGCACTGATCCAAGCATTTCTTCCATGTGATTAATCTTCAGTCATTTGCATCTGTAATTTAGCATCGTTAATGGGTGAAACTAATGTTAAAACAAAATCTTAATTGAACCAAATTGAAGGCTTACCTGTAATTGAGCGTTATAAGTAGGTGAAGCCATTTCGAAAACAAAACCTTGATTGAACCAGAATGAGGGCTTATGCAATTAAGGCTTGTGTCTTTTCTACACCCCTTTCCATCTTTTTCTATGCAAGCTTCCATAAGTATGCCTGTAGCTTGACAAAAAACTTTTTTTCAATTTTTGTGGGTGGACACATCGTGCAAATATATACATTTTTGTTGCTATGAAACATTATTAACTACAAACTTATATGGCTTATAAAATAACTCATACAGTGGGAGAAGGAGATGATCTGACCCAGTTGTAGAAAACACAAATATGACAAGATCATTAAGTTAAGTTTGGTACTAAAGTTCAGAATAAATGTACACAAGTTCAACCAAAACTTCACTTCACATATCTAGATTTATATCTTAGCTTGTAATTTGACAGTGTGATCATGGACGATGTAAGAAATGCAATACCATTTGAAGTTTCTACTTTTCTTTCTAGGTACATACAGTGGGCAGCTGTGAAGTGCAAAAACCTTCGCAGATTGTCAGTGTTGGGGTGTGGTATTAAGCTCGAGCAGTGGGCAAAGATTCTTATTTCTGGCAAAGACCTTTTGGATATATCGATACCAATTTATCAATTGGAGGATCTCCTTATTGACAGACTTGTGGAATCCAGTGTAGATAACACTACAGACAAATCTCTGGAGTCGGGGTTTAGAGAGGTGAAAGTAGCTTTACAAAAACTGCAGTGCCTAAGAATTGACATCGCCAATGAATTGTGCCAGAGTTTAGCAGTAGATAGAAGACTTGAGTGCACATGGATAGCTCATTGTCAAAATTTAGAGATACTGACATTGTCAGTGGCTGGATATTATACACTAGGGAGATTGCTACCTGATGTGGTACTACCAAAATTGCAGCAGTTCTACTTCTGCAATGACTGTGACAGTCTGCCATCATGTTACTTGCAACCGTTTTGTAATGTTGTCTGTTGGCCACAAAAGGCCTCTTTAAATGCTTTACACAATGAAGTATCACATATGACATATGGCTGGTTTTTAAAAAACATTGACTTGCTTAAAATGGAGAAGATGCTAACTTATAACCTCTTTAAGGTCTCTGGCTTGACACCCCATTTTAGCAAATGTGCTCAGAGTTCTTTAAAACATGTTGGCTTTATTTCCTGTATGGAAAGTGCCGAGACTTTGATGGCAGTTTGCCATGATATTGGTGAGAAGTGCCCCATGCTCAGAAGTTTCAGCTTGTGTCATTCATGTTTAAAAAGGAATGGAGATAATACACCCGTGAGTTTGTTTTACCATAATTTTATGGAGAGACAATTTTCTTGAAGTTATAATGTTTTTTGTGAATCTTTCATTTTGTGAATTTTTCAATTCCCAGGTGTGACCTTAAATTTTTAAAGGTCTGAAGCCCATTGCTAGCTACATTTTTTTAATTTTCATGGTAATGGTCATACATAATAGATGATTGTTGATTTTCCTGTAAAGCATTATGTAAAATAGCACTGAAAATGTATGTCACTGTTGCTATTAGAGTTCTCATTTGATATCTGTCCATTTGACAGCTTTGCTGACTTGTTTATCTTTCTTAAACATAATGGAATTCTTTTTTTATTACAATTGACACTTAGAGTAAAAATAACATAGCATCAATATGCATTTTACTACGGTTACACTTTTAACTTTATGAATTTATAAATTGCCTGATTTTCCTTAATTACAGAGAAAATTTATGAAATGCCTCAGTTTAGACAAGCTTCCATACCTCACTACCTTGGGTCTATCTGGTGTGCATTTTGACAATGAACCAAGTTTGTGTGATATGCTAGCCAATCTGAAAGGTAAAAGAAAGATTTTACACTAAATTTTAATTGTTAGAATGACCTGTCACAACAAATAGTACATGTATGTACACAATTGCCAATGTTTGTTATGTTAAATATATTTTACATCAATATTGGATCATAGTAATAATAACTATAATCATCATTATTGATAATTTAACTTACTTATATATATATAAGTAAGTTGAATTATTATTGATAATTCAACTTACTTATATATATATATATATATATATATATATATATATATATATATATATATATATATATATATGAAAAGTCAATATCTCAGCTGTTAAAATAAACACATTTTAGTCAAAAGTATATATAGTAGAAGGTATGATTTGATTTAAAATCTTGTAGAATCAAGACAAATGTGAAGAATACTAAATTCTGTATCCTGAAAAAAGAAAGTTCCTAAATGATGATCTTGTTATTAACTTCTTAAACAATAATCACTTAAACATATGGGTTTTTCTTGTTTTATTTTTGCAATGAAATATTTCAAATTATTATTCTATGTAATATTTTATGAACAAAAAATAATTTGTCTATTTTGCAAGCATCATCATCACCAAAACTTTGTATTATGTAAGTAGTTGGAAAGCCTACTGTCAGTATTATGATAAATGCTATATTTAATATTTCCTCTTTAGCAATGAGGAGGTTGTCATTGACAGCATGTGCAATTCAGGATCCATGTGAAGAACCTGTGACTCGAACCAGTTATGCTGCTCCAAATGGCTTTGGAAAAAGACGAAGACTTGGTGTCCAAACAACCGAGGTAAGCAGTTGCCATCTCATCATATAATAATGTGTGGATCTATTGCTCATCAGAATTGTTTGTAGTAGACATTATTTTAAAAGAGACAATGAAAATAAGGATTTCACCATGATTCTGAAATTAGTACCCTGAGTGTCAGAGAAACGTAAAAGCTAGCTTGTAAATATATACCTTGTGATGGAGTCGCTTTTACTAGCTCTGACGAACAGCGACAATCTGAGGGCGTTCTTCTTCAAAATTTTGCCTGGGGCGCTTCCATATTTGGAAGTCACACGTCACAGCTGTGTCCGCCTGGATCCATATTTGGAAGTGATAAGTCTCGTACGTCACAGGTTTGGCCGCCTGGAGCTGCCTTTCCCGCCTCGCGCTGAAGTTATCTCGTGCAGACGAGACAAGAAGCAAAGTGCCTGACGAAGTTTGAATTGAAAATATCTTGCAGTCCAAGGTCAGTGCCACAATAGAAGCA